ACACCCTGTATAACAAAAGTTTAATCAAATTTATAGATATGATTATAGATAGATACGAGTTTAATAAAATAAACTCAAGACGATTGTACTTATATATATATACAAAAGAATGTAACATAAGAACATGTGTTAGAAAAGAAATCATAGAGACAGAATATTTTAATCTCATTTTTTTCTTGCTTCAGATGAAGGGAATCCTAGACTCCTACAAGTGTCGAATCTACAATAAGCTTTGGCTAAGGAACTCTGAATGTCTGAAGCCTGAAACATCGAATTTATTTTTGCATGACCATGAGACTATGGCCAATAGCGATTTCGAGTCTTCTCCCGACATAGCTAGGTTACAGATCAACTGCGATATTGCCATCAAAACGAAAGGCACAATAACATGCATGCTAACACCGGACATTATCGACAGCAACACTAACATAGTTCTGACGAGCATGATCTATTTGAGTGCATCATTACTTATTGTTAGTAGTTCAGAATATTTTACATTAAATGCAGTTGACGGCTCCTCTAATTATAATGAAAAACTTGAATGTGACAAGGAACCTAGCACCAGTAGTGGTAAAAACACGATGGATGAAAGAGAATTCGCGTACAAAATTTTGAATGGTGATCCTTAATCTTTTTAATTTAATAAATTTATTTGTTTACATTAGCAATAATAATGTAACTACTAAATTATATTTAAGGAAAAAATTCTATATTTATTTCGCAAAATATTTTTATACAAACGCAAAAAGACATGCAAAAATAGATTTCTAACGATTTTTACGAAAGACCGTCTAAATTAGTATAGTATCCATTATTTGTTTATATTAATCTCTTTTATTGCTTACAATTTTAATGTTTTTTTTAGAAGAACTTGTTAAACTGGGGTTACAATCCGATGTATATTTCTCGAATATTTATCTCGGATATAAAATATCGATGCTTTTCATAAGTACAAAGTCATTGGCACCCAAACCAGAGGTAAACGTAGAAAGTGCAGAAATAGAGCAAGACAAAATTATTAATTTGATACAACTATTGACGACCGAAGAAGCGTCTCGTTACCTGCGCCTTGTTCTAGAGAAGGGATTGCCATATCAAAGTACCATATTTACATCATTCCACTTTGAGGAATATCTGCCGATATACAAGCTGTTGGAGATGCTGAATGTTCCAGGATTTATGTCATCCGGTCCTATCAATTTACCCGGGTTCGGTGACGACGTGACGTTCGGCAATGCTGTGCATCAAGTTAGAATTGAAATGACGAATTCTAATTTCGAGGCCGCCGCGAGTAATGCATTCTTCAACGGCAACTCTTCTACACACGTGCAGACGACAGACATTCCTGAGGATATCGACGTTCCGAGTATCTGTTTAATCTATGATAAAGCAAATCGTAACATCCTTTTCTGTGGCATATTATGGAGTCGGAAGGATTGTCCAGTCTCCATGGTTTAAATATCATGCAATAACGTTGTGGAAGTTTGCGTACCCGAAATGAGTAGTCGAATCGGAGTCGATTTGATGTCAATGCGTAAAAAATACCCAGCGAGAAATGACTCGACGATACATGTAAAACTATGTCGAATCCGGATCAATTTATTGGTGCTGCAGTCGAATCGACATCGTTCGATATCGTTCGACGGATAATTTCTCACGGGGTAGTCGAATAATGGTTGAAAAATATCTTTCTCGCGATCATATTTTCGACCTCATCAGAATTGTTTTTACATAATATACGTAATGTTACTTTAACTATTTTAAACATTTTTGTAAAATTTCTATTGTATTTCGGTTTTAATCAACCGGTAAAAAATTTATCATAAATTATACGTGAAATATGTCCATACGTATTGTTACATTGTATATTTCAATATAGTTCGATACAATTCTACACAGTTCTATACAGTTATGTTTAATTGTAAATAAGCAATTTTACACATTAAAAATTTTTTTATATAAAAGCATGTATAAACCTATAAAATTATGCAGAACTGTGTAAAATTATTGACAATTATATAGAAATATAGAATTTAAAAAATGTATGGACATAATTGATGTGTATTTTTGTATAATTCTTTATATTTGTTCACGTTGATGCATGACAAATTTTACAACGGCTACACATGTGTCAAATCAATGAATTGCCATATAAACACATGATGGGTTTTACGTTGACAATTTTATAAATTTATTATGGGATTGATTTCTAATATGAGATAGCAGGGCTACTGCTAAATAACTAATATAATAATTTGGCAGAAACTCAGTTCATTTCATATTAGGAGTCAATCTCACAATAGGGGACTCTCCTCTTATATGTAGAATACATTCCACACTGCAACGTCTTTTCAATACACGTGTCTAAAAGATAATATGCCTTTCAATACATATTTTAAAGATATAACATATATCAATTCTATAAGTTGCTTTATCATCATTATTTCATATTAACGGAAATTTACGCATACTTTTATGGCCAAAGAAGACAAAAATATTAAACCCGATTATAAACCCGAAAATATTAAATTCGATATGATCATTTATCAATGCACCAATGTTAAATTGACAGGAATTTGATTTATCATTTTTGAATTATTTTAGCTGATATAGAATTTATATCTTTTTTACAAGAAACCTGCCTGTTTCAAAATGTAACATTTAAATTTTCTTGCATAATAAAAGCAAAAAGTGTATCTTTCACTTATTTGTATATACAGTTCTTTATTTTTTCGCTATTCTATTAACAAAGTGTTTGAAGAAATACAGTAAAATAGAACAGATAGAGGTGGAAGTAGGACAAAACGAAGTACGTTGAATTTGATGGCTTGTAATGAACCACCTACATGTTTAAATATTTTACCACAGTTATTTTCAGTATATATCACTTCACAGTTTACAATAATCATAATCTCTTTATTGATAATAGTTTTTCGGAAATACTAATGTTTGTAAAAGAACGCAAATCACCCTGTTTTGTCCAACCGATAAAATTGAACAGGGTACTCATTTTAGTCATTGGGAAATCATCGGTTTCATGCTTTTAGTGATAAGAATCTACGCATACAGTGTGATTTAGGGACTCAGAGTTTCTGTGCAACAGTACAAAATAGCATAGATATATGTATAATAAACTGCTCAATAAAATTTCCGCAACAAAAATTTGTACTCAAATTTCACTCAACTTCAAATACTCGTAAATGAGCATTAATTTATTTGCATTACTTGCATAATTAATGAGTATAAATAGACTAAATGCAAAGGTAACTTTGATATATCATAACTCCGCCAAAAAAACGTACAAACTTCAATTTTTTTAATTTGTAGGGGCAAGTTTACATTTTACAATGGTTCTAATAGAATTTGCGAAAAAATTTTATTGCACCCCGTGAAGCGCATCAAACTATAAAAAGTTTTGCAGACAAAACAGGTCCTTACTTTTAAAGAGATCACGATAAGGAGAACAGAGATATTCAAAATCGGAAAAATTTTCTTTAAAGTAGCGATTTCTAGCTTTAAAATAAAAAAAATGTTAATGCGATACGTTTTAGCGAAGTTGCGAGTATTTGAAGTTGAGTGAAATTTAAAACCGAAAACGCGAATATTTGCATAAAAAATTATCTGTTCCATCGCCAATAGCCTGGGAAACATTTATGTTTCGGCAGTTACAACATCTCGTCAATTGTAGAAACAAAATGCCATGTTTATCACAGTAAAACATGAAAAATCTCTGGATTGAAGTTAAATACAATAATTACAGATAAAACTTAAACTCGAACTCATCGAGACCGCAACATCGTCCATTCACGGGTCCGGTTTTCACACTGGATAATATTGAATCCATCCTTCGTTTAATGCAACTTTTGAGCTCAATTGATATTAACTTGAAACGATCTTGCTGCGCATTACATACTTAGCGCGAGATATCGTGTCTCTTGATCTTTGAAAATTCTCGGCTATCCTTTATTTCAAGTTTTCATGTGAGTGCCGCGCTCTCAGCCAATACCAAGTTGGTGGTAAACTTATAGCGAATTGGGTTGCTCGCATTAGCACGTACCGAGTGCGCACCTGTTTACAGTCAATTCTGGTATCTAAAGATTGTTCCAAATACCTCTTGATATACTACGCAGCCGGTAAAATGATCTATATAACATCCGTACGCATCATTTTTCCGATTTTCAATAATTTTTAATATGTATTTAAGATTAACATAAATACTACAACTGACTCTGAACAAGCCTTAATGTACACTCGGTGCGCACCAGTGCAAATACACGAATTCTCTATAACACTACTAGATACAATCTTGAGAGTTTGTATATTTTCGCTTGTATTGTGTCCTGTCATCGTATTTGGAAAAGTCACCTCATTATTTTAGTATTATACTTGACCTGACGAACAACTGCCACCGCTTATCATACACCGACGTATTATAACTAATCTCAAAGATTTTCTTGGAGCCTATTGTGCCTTGGTGTTTTGTGACCGACAATTATTTAATTGGATTGAAATCTTGTTGATATCAAACCTCGATAATTATATCAAAGAAGAAGGTAAAATATTGTTTCAAATTACCATACTCTAAACAATCTAAACTGATTATTAGGTACATTATAAGAGGTACAGCATATCAGTAGGAGAAAGTTTTTGTTTTACTTTCTCTGCTTCACTTATTTTTTTGTCAAGGTGTGTGTGTGTGTGTGTGTTTGAGCGGGTGTGCGTAGGTGTGGGTAGAGGTTTTATGTAAAGATAACTTCTTAAAAAATATGTATTGTAAATTACATACAATATTAAAAGTAATTCCATTATAGTCCCTTCAGGTCCCGCAAATCATTTTACATAATGCTTGTTTTTCATACGTGTGGAAATTAAATTGTGGACGACTTATACAAGTTTTTTTTTTGAAGATGTTGTCGGACGCTCGTTTCAAATTTGCCCTCGAAAGCCTGAAGAAATGTATGTTGATGGAACCGAAACAAAACATTTTCTTCAGCCCGCATCTCATATACCATGATCTACTCATGGTGTACTTCGGAGCTAGCGACGATATCGAGAAATCTCTTAAAAAAGTCCTTTACATTCCCGATAATATTTCTAGAGACACCCTACAACAAAACTATGTTTCTACGGAAAACAATCAGTTCTGTTACATTGTAAGTAATTTCCTTCGATATGTGTGGCATCATCGTACAAAGTCCGCACAAGAGCATGCGTTTTAACGCTAATTTTTCGGATACTTAAATTAAAAACATTCTTAGTAAAAGAAATTCGACACGATGGTACTTATACATATGTATTATATACATAAGAACATGTATCAGGAAAGCAATCAGAGAGACAGATTATCATAATCTCATTGTTTTTTGCTTCAGATGAAGGGACCCTCAGACTCCTTCGAGTGTCGAATTTCGAGTAAACTTTGGCTAAGTAACTCTAAATCATTGAAGCCTGAAACATCGAGTTTATTTTCATCTGCCCATCAGACTATGAAGAGTAGCGATTTCAAGTCTGTTCCTGATTTAGCCAGGCGTTTCATCAATTTTAGTATTAGCAATACAACGGAACGCACAATATCGGATCTGCTACCGCCGGACTATATCGACAGCAACACTAATATAGTTATGACGAGCGCGATCTACTTGAAAGGCTTATTCCACAATGGTTTCGAAGATTGTGAATTAAATACTCCTGACGACTGTTCTAAATATGATAAAAAACTTAAATTTGTTAACAAACCTTCTAGTAGCAGTGGCAGAAAGATGAGGAATGACAAAGAATATATGTTCAACAGTTTTATTGGTAATCATTAATCTTTTTCATTTTATAAATTTATTCATTTGCAATAACAGAAATAATGAAACTATAAATTATATTTAAAGAAAAAAATTTTATATTTTATTTTGCAAAAAAATATCTTTATGCAGACGCAACATGTCAACAAAAAATTGATTTCTAACAATTTTTAGGAAAGAAAGTTTTAATTAGCAAACTGTCCGTCATTTGTTTATATTAATTTTTCATTGTTTACAATTTGAATACTCTTTTTTTAGAAAAACTTGAACAACTGGGGTTAAAATCCAAGGTATATGTCTATAATGTTTCTCTCAAACGTAATGAAATATCGATTTTCTTCCTGGATACAAAGTTATTTCAATTCAATCCAGAGAGAGACGCTGGAAGTGCAGAAATAGAGAAAGACAAAATTATCCAATTGATGGAACTGCTGACGACCGAAGTAGTATCTTCCTACCTGCGCAATATTCTAGAGATGGGATTGCCATATCAAAATATGTTATTTACACAATTGCAAATAAAACAAAATCTGCCGATAAACAAGCTATTGCAGATGCTGAGTGTTCCAGAACTTATGTCATCCGGCCAAATCGAGTTGCCCGCGTTTAGTGACGATGTGACGCTCGGTAATGCTTTGCACCAAGTTAGCATTGAAATGACAAAGGATAATATCAAGGCGGCCGCGAGTAACGCATTCTTCGACATTAATTCTATGCAACACGTACAGACGACAGACATACCTGTGGATATCGACTTTCCGAGTATCTGTTTAATCTATGATAAACGTCATCACAATCTCCTTTTCTGTGGCATCTTATGGGATCGGAAGGATCTTCCAGTCGACGAAAAATGACTCGTTGATAGGTGTCGAATAATGGTTGAAAAATATCTTTCTCTCGATCATATTTACGATCTTATCTGAATTGGTTTTATATAATATGCGTAATGTTAATTGGAAAATTGCAAATGTTTCTGTAAAATCTCTATTGTATTTCGGTTAATTAACCGATGAAAAATTTTCCATGTATGAACATAAATAGATAGATCAATTACAGGGTAAACGCCTTTTCGGACCTACCACAGACGGTGGCCACTTAAAATATGATGTGAATACGTATACCGTATTTGTAGTATTTTATAAAATTATATATTTTTGCATTGTATATTTCTTATATGTGTAGTTCTACATATACAATTTTACACTGTTCTATATAATTTTATAGACTTGTTTTCGCTTTTATATAACCAATTTTTAAAAGGGAAAAAATTGCTCATTATAATTGTAAACAACTGTGTAGAATTGTATGAAATTATATAGAAATATACAATGTAAAAATATGTATGGAAATATTTGAGGTATATTTTTATATGATTCTGTATATTTGGTCACGTTCATGCATGAAATATGTTTTATCGGGTATATGTAAAATTAATAATTAAACGCAATATATATACATATATATATATATATATATAAACACGTCTTGTATTGTACAATGTCACACACACTATATATATATATATATATAAACACGTCTTGTATTGTACAATGTCACTTTTATAAAATTTACATACAGATAGAGAATAATATTTTATTATGAGATGGGTTTTTTATATGACATAGGGTTCCTGCTAAATAATTAATATATTAATTTAGCAGAAATCCCACTGATCTCATATTAGAAGCCTATCTCACAAGAGGGGATTCTCCTCTTATAGAATACATTCCAGACTGTAACGTCTTTTCAATACACATGTGTAAAAGGTAACATGCCTTTCGTTACACATTTCAAAGATATAACATTTGTCAATTCTATAAGTTACTTTATTATAATTGTTTCATGTTAATGGAATATTGCGAATACTTTTACAGCCAAAGGAGACAAAATATCAATTAGTACTCGACATGGTCATTTATCAATTTATCAATGTTGAATTGACGTGAATTTGACTTATCCTTTCTGGATTACTTTAGTTGATATAGAAATAATGTCTCGTCTAGAAAAGATCTCCCTGTCTTAAAGTGTAACATTTAAATTTTCTAGCATAATAAAAACAAAAAGTGTATATTTGACTTATTTGTATATGCATTTCTTCATTTTTTTCGCTACTTTATTAACAATGTGTTTGAAGAAGGTGGATATAAAACTTGGAGCTCGTGGTATAACTTAAGTAAAAGATCAAATGCGATTATTGGAGTTGCCCAATGTGGAAGAACGAGAACCCATTCGTTACCCTGGATGTAGAAAGTGGTTTGTTGTTGACCTCGAATACACAATATATTCGGTTGCATATAATCATTTGCCTCCATCCTGAAGTTTTTCTCAGTATGGGGAAGATTTGTTCCTTCCTATGGAATAAAGATGTGTAATTGATAATGTTATTTGTATCATAAATACATGGCAACAAAAAGCTTAAAACTTACTAACAAAATTTTTATGGGTTGGGGATTTGGTATTCAACATTGAAAGAACTCTCATGTTTTTTGCAACTGAAATAAAAAGGATATATAAAATTACTTTTAAAGAACACGCAAGTAACTTTAAAAGATGATAGACCTACTCACTTTTTTCCTGCTATTATTTCCTCTGCCTTTTTCTCTACTATTCTTTTTTGTCGAATTTGATGGAAGTAATAGCAGACTCAGAACGATCAGAGCTCGTAAAGTGTCTGAGATAGAGGAAAACTTAGGCATATTGTCAAAAAGTTTATTTTTTAGTTAGAACTACTCTGATTAATAAGTACATTTAACAGATAATTAGAAACGTTTGTTACTTTGAAACCCTTACCATCGTTAACGGGAAGATCGTTAGTTTTTTTAGTGATATCGGGTCTGTATTCTGTGGCGTAACTAAGAATATTTTTAGCACGAAAGAAAGGAAATGTTGCCAAGAAATTGTCTCTATAATCTGGATAAATACCAATGAAGTCTTGTTCTACCTGCAAAATGAAGGAAAATCATGATCATAATCCATTACTTTTAAACGCAAATTGAAGGAGCTGACTTAATACTCACTATTTCACCGTGATAGTCTAGAAGCCGCGGATATCTTATCATCGCATCTCATCACACATGTTTGTATATTGTGTATTTCTATACAATTCTATACGGTTCTGTATAATTTTATGGATTCATATATTTTATTTGTATAAAATGTTTACTAAGATATCAGTTTTACAGCGAAGAAAATTGGATTTTTTATTTGACAAAAACAATGATTTCATTTATAATAATAAATAGTATTCTCTATCTCATGAAATCTTTAGGTGAATGTAGAAAGTGTAATGATTTAAATTAATTTACTTAATATAATACACAGACTTACTCGAAATTTGACACTTTTATTTAAATAGAATAAATATTTACTTGAGTAAAAACCTATTAAAAAGTATAATATAAAGGCTCAGTGAGAAAAACAATATTAGTATAGTCCTAACACAATTTGATGTGTTAGGACTATACTAATATATAATTTTATCACCTAAAACCAGGTGACGGCTCATATTGCCCTCCCCTTTCCCAATGATCAACATCAAATTGTGTTAGGATTATATTAATATTGAGTAAAAAAAATAATTTTTGGTAAATCTATTTACTTAGTTCTAAAAAAAAATCGGTCAGTGTATAAATCTATACAATTGTACAGATGTGTAGAATTGTATAAAAATTTTTTATATACATAGAAATTTAACATACAATAACTGTGTGCGCCTCGTGTAGCAGCCGTGGCTCCATCTCGTCCGCGCGAAACAAGTCGTCGGACTCGTGGGAGAGTCTGCTGTCTCCTCTCGTCCGTTCCGGTGGGAAGATTCGAAAACAAGATAATGTAGACAAATTCAGCGAATATTCGAACGTCAGTTCGATCGGAGGAGCGCGTTAACGCAGTGAGTCCGCTTGCGTGATTTACTTAAATTATTCGAGGACGCGCGAGACGCGCGGGAACAGAACTCGATTGAGTGACGTCGGAAGATCAAAAAATGTCACTCGAGTGTTAACAACCGTGAGACGGATTAGCGAGCTGATTTTCGTCGACAACTTGTTTCCCGTGAGCGTCAGTTTTCGTCGCTTATCTCCCGTTTCTCTTCCCAGTTTCCCCAATTATTATACATACATCGCGTATCGTCGCGACGTATCTGTCGATGAGCACGTGCGCTTATATAACCTCTAACATCCTAATCTCTCGCGCTCAAATCTCACCGATCTCGCACGAGTCCCGACCCCCGAGCGTTCTCAGGCTCGCGTGTCTCCTTCTCTTTCTCGTATCTTATCATACTCCAGTCCGGCAGGCGATAACCATCTGGCCAAATCGATTCCCAGTAATTCCAGTGTGAGTTGTACGCTGCAAGTCTCCGCGTTAAGTGTGTACATGAGAATTGTACTACTCGGAAAAATAGATTCTCCTCCCCGGGCGTGACATCCGCTCGCGATTATCATTTCTCCACGTCGACCTTAGATGTTTTGTTTCAAATTTATCGATAAGTGAGAAGCTTGGGCCGTATACTTTGATCTCTCTATCAGGCTAGCTCGTCGCAAGGTGCAGTTAAAATAAGAGTAATGTGAGTAGGACGCTGCTTGCTTGTTGCTTACGTTTGTGAGGTTTATCTTGGCTCCATTATCAATGCTATCCAGTAGCATAAACTCTTGTGCAATTAATTGTTAATTATAGTCAATGTGTTGTTTTTCTTTGCTCGAGAGATTCAAGTACTGCTGCGAAGTGCACCTTTTATACATTTAACAATATACATATATGTATAATAATAAAGCTGTTAAACATTGTGGGAAATTTGCTCTCGAAAGTATTATTTTATATAATTGCATTCTATTTTTAATTGTGTTAATTGTATTAATTGTATAAATTTATTTCATGTAGTTCTGCCACCGTACAATAACTTATGTTGTACTGTGCAATTAACCACATTAGAGTTATGATATATTTTAGGGTTCATAAATGTATGTAAAACATAAAATTATGTACACATATTCAAACTCCTGTTTAAATTATCTAAAAAAGATACACAGGGATTAAAGCAACGCAGTTGAGCAGGATGTGGTTTAAAGCAGATTTCTCCAAGTATTGTATATTACTTTAAAAAGTAACCTTTTTCTTAAAAAAAAAAAGGTAAAAGAGCCACCAAGTATAAGCGCTATCCAATCAAGAATTATATATAATTTAATATATATAATTTATAATATATAATATATAATTAATAATATATAATTTAATTATTTGGGTACAGGGTAGATAAAAAACATTTTTATCTTTACCAAAGTAACGATGCCATCAAGCCATCAAATTGCACCGACCAGAATGGATATTTATGCAAACCAGATACTTAATTATTTTTTATATTAAAATGTTTAAGGCAGATTTCTCCAAGTATATATTGTATACACGATTGTTACATTACGCGCATTAAACCGGTGTTTTTACAGGTTGGGTGCTAACGATGAGGTAGAATATTCCCAGGAAGCAGAAGAGACAGAAGAGTATGCCATGACTTGTCTGGGAGCATTGGTATTTGCGGACAAACATTCTCGACAATCGTCTTCGGATGATTCATCCAAGCAACGGGTGGATTCATTGTCGCTTGCGTACGAAGATCTCTTTAGCATGCCATATAACATCGTACAAGATTACAGCCTCACTATACAGCATTTAGATATCAGTAACAACATGTTTAGCAGGTGAGTAAAGTCTGGCACTGGTGACACGTGCAGTAAAATTTGCGGAGACGAAGTTATATCTGCTACATGACAGGATAAGACAAATTGTTTTGACGTTTCAGAAACTTGCAGTTTTTGTCGGAGTTCGACAATTTAAGGTCTGTCAATTTGGATCATAATAAAATCGATGACGTTACGGTGTTCCCAAACATGCCAAACCTCGAGCTGCTCTGGTTGAATCATAACTGTATAAAAAATCTGTATCCCTTCATCAAGAATCTCCATCGAAGTATACCGAACCTTAAGTACTTGTCGCTTATGGGAAACGAGGCGGCTCCTAGTTACCTTAATGGTGGAGATTTCTGTGATTATCTACGATATAGGTATATCAGAAGATATTTCCTTTCATTATAGAAATATAATTTCTCATTTGACTGCTCATCGCGACTACGTTTGAACTTCTAACCAGGTTGTACGTGCTATCTTGGTTCCCGCACTTGCTGCACTTGGATGACAGAACTGTAACCGAGCAACAATTGCTGCAGGCTAAGAAATTATTTAGACGGTCGTTGCTCGAAGATTTTATTGTAGTGCCGGAGTGCCTTAAGGATCTGCATAATAAGATAGCTGTACATTCCAAAACGCCAGCGTCTGACAAACAAAGAGCACCGAATGGAACAAATTTCATTGTCTGAACAGTATTAAAGTGCAGCTCAGGAAAAGCTCTGACAATGCTCTTTCAGTGATGAAATGAGATTATAATATTCTGCATTCTCTTAGTAGAAACACGTGCCAATTATAAAAGCAATGTGTTGCGAAGAAGTTTTGTAGCGTTTTCGTATAAGATGTGATATAAGCATATTTGATAATCACTTTTTTTATAGTTGTTATATTGAAGATGCAGCTATACGAACAAATAACTTACATTTTTAATGCAGATATACGTACAATGCATTTGAAAGTAGTTTCACAGTGTGTTCTGCTCGTATTATACAGGGTGTCGGATTCGATTTGGACCACTCCAAAGATTATAGTAGATTGGGTCAAAAACTGAGAAGAAAAGTTATATACCATCTGTTAACATCTCTCAAGATCCGATAGCGAGAGGTGGAGTCACGCATCGATCGATGAGAGACGGGGGCGAGCGGTGAGCGGGCGTACGTCGCGCAGCGAACGAACACGCGACATATGACACCGCGCCGAAAAAGTTTTTCTGGTGGTAGGAGAATAATACACCATTTTGCATGTCTGCCGAGTCCGGCCTTCCGCTCCTCCGTGCACTTATTGGCTCAGACGTTTTTCTTAATTACGCGATAATAATTACGGATTTTGTAAAATGGTATATAACTTTTCTTCTCAGTTTGATCCAATCTACTATAATCTTTGGAGTGGTCCAAATCGAATCCGACACCCTGTATACGTATATGTACACACACACACACGCGCGCGCGCGCGCACGCACGCACATGCACGCAACACGCATACACATACCACACAGCAGACAGAGGATATTCCAGAAAGCTCGATAACCCTTTCACCGAGATATTTTGTAAAATATTTTACTGGCGAAAATCCTTACGTAAAAATGTCGAGGCTATTATATTAGATGGTAAACTTAGTTTCCACGGTGTTTTTTGTTTAACAAACTCATTTTGATATCAAGAGAAAAAAATAAATCAATCAAAGTATTTGCCCTCGCTAGCTATACATTTTTTTCCATCTTTCTGACAATGAGTGGATTCCGCAACGATAGAACGATTGGTCTTTTGATGCAATCCATTCGTCGATTCATTTTCGCACATCCTCGTAATTTTTGAAGTGTATCCACCAAGCCGTGCTACGTTGATTGGAACAAGTGATAATTTGGAGGAGCCAAGTCTGGTGAATACGCTGGGTGCGAGAGAACTTCCCACTCGAGCTGCATCAGTGTTTCCTTGACTGTTGCAACGTGTGGTCGAGTGTTGTCGTGCAAACGAATAACTTCCTTTCCTTTTGAATTTTTCCCATTGCATGTAGACGTTTGGGAACAGCCATCGAAGTAACATTTAACGCTGCAGATAATTCTTGAAGCGCTTGAGCTGAGTTTTCGTCCAATAATGCTTGCAATTCGAGATCTTCAAACTTTTTCGGCTGACCTGAGCGTTGTTTATCATTCACATTAAAATCATCACTTTTAAATCACTGAAACCATTCTCGGCATGTTCTTTCCGATGCAGGACAATTGCCATAAGCTTCGACAAGTAATTTCTGAGCTGTAGCTGCACTTTTTTTTTCAAATCAACCCAGTGAGAAATGATTCGTCGATCGACGTCAATTCGACGGCGCGGTGTCGATGTCGATTCGACGTCGTTTCGATGTCGTTAGCATCAGTTGCTGGCATTTTATTTCCATACTTTGCTTGAGCATACTAGCTATCTGGATAGGTGTTTGTGTCTTATCTACGTTCAATATCTTTTCACAGCGTAAATTGTATGTAGAGCATTGTTAAATATTATTTTGTAATTTATATATTGTATATATTATTTTATATTCCATGTGTTACAGAGCATTTTTACCTCTTTTACGATATTTGATAAAAATAAATTGATTTTGTTCCTTGTTCACGGATACCTTTTGGTTTGAACAAGTCAATAACGGTTGAATGAATGCGTTAATTGGAACAGAATTACTTATTGTTAGCAGCAATCGTTTGTTTTCGCTGCATTTTGACGAGAGAGGCACACAAAGAGAGAATTTTGATTGATTCACGGATGTTAGTTTTCGCTCTTTGCGGAGGAGTCGTTGAGAATTGCAAAGCGAATCGTATAAAATCATTTATTTCAAGTGCACATGCGTGACACATTCAATATAAATATTATCTATTAGTTTGTTTTTTTACAGCTGAACTAGCATACTCGCTATATTTAAAATTAAGTATATGTTTACAATTTGGAAGAGCAAGAAAGGAAATTTTACAACAGTTCCATACAACAATAAAAACAAAACTTACGTGTCGATATTATATACATTACAAAGACGTAAATTATATCAAAATACACATATTACTGTAACTTTCACTTACGATATAAGATAATCTCGCGCAGAGATTCCTGTTTTTATTACTTACTTGATAACGGTTTGTGTGTGTGTGTATGTGTGTGTGAGCGTCTTTATTGTCCTTTTTTAAATTACCAAATTATTTGAAGTGCTATTTGAGCGTGTAGCTAAATTGATCAATTTCATATAATAAAAAACATTGAGGAGGCTATTACCGATTATGTGCTCTGGTACCAAAATTATAAAATTTACAAACAGTTAATTGTTTTCTTGAGAGACTCACTTATAGATACTATTTAAATCAAATCTGATTCCTAATCATCAAAAAGCATGAATTTTTTCTCCGGCATTTTTGTGACGTGAGAAGAGACTCTCTGCTTGCTCATCTCTTTTTATATAACGGTGTAACACGATATGTATGACCATGGCTCTCTGGAGCATAATCCTTCCAGAGAGAAAGATCTACTTGTGGGAGCTTGTCGCATCTTTCAAGCGGATTCCTGGAATTTACGTCGGTTAGTAAAGCGATCGTTTTGCTCTTTCACATACCATGATTCGACCTCTAGAGATTAGATACTCAGCCAAGACTGGACTTACGATTCGGAAATTTGATTAAATCCTAATTGTTGCATGTGTTGAATGTTGTCCCCGTTATCGCATAGCAGTCGCGATATACTTGACTTCCGTATTTCATTCAATTGTTCTGCGTACGAAACACATGTAAAACGTTTACATACATACTCTTGAAATTATGAATCAAATCGATTATTTAAATTAATTAATTACATTGTTAATTTGATCTTTGATAAATTAAATTGGTTTAATTAAATTTGATCTGTTTAGTAATCAACGTCTTACTAAATACATTAACGAGACTGGTTGCATTTATTGTTACAATTTAAGCGCGTTAACGTACCTATGGTGAATGCTACTTTCGGGTCTCCTGTTTCAAACCAGTAACGATCACCGATTCGCGTCTGTTGGAATTGTCTCAACATGATGCATAGAAACGTCGGTCCAGCCTGCGCTCCGGTAACATGTCTCTCTAAGGCTCCACCGACAGTTAAATCGACATCATCCGGACTAGCGTATAACGAGGAGAGTTTTTGTATATCCTAGAATTTTTTAATTCACTTTCAGCTTAAGATGCATCTACGTCGAGAGATTCGTTTCACTCACCGAAGGGGATATATAATCGGTAAAATCATTGAAGACTCTCGCTCGTGGCAGTCCACAGTATTCACGATAATCGTTGTATGAAGCGAGCCCGTGGTCGCGATCCCTTTGAATGTCTATCGCTCGCAGGTCAGACCCAAGGGTCCTTCCTCTTCTGAACAAAAACTGCGTGATCTGCGAGGGATTATTGTTATTAACAGAAATTGCCTTTTACCAAACGCCCTTATTAGAGCGTAACTTTTTCCCTCTGTCGTTGATAGTTATTTTATTTTTACTCTGAATTTGAATTTTACATTTAATTTATTTTTCAAACTCTGGTTGAGGTAAATTTTTTGCAATAAATTAAAAAATTAAAATTATTTAGACACTAACATCCTGTCTTGGCTCTTATACCCTTTCTTCGAATTGTGATTGCACGTCAGAGCCTTATGAATTTTACATTTAAATAATTTTTGTTAGCGCTCGCATTCCTAGCTTATAGCTAGATATCGACTGATCTCTTTCGCAGGGTCGTGTCTCGGTTTTTACACAATTTCCGGGTTTTCTGTTTAAATACTCATTTTGGTCCTTAATGAATGTTTAAGCAGAAAAACCGAAAATTGCGTAAAATCGAGATATGATCTTACGAAAGAGATCAGTCGATATGTACCTCTTTATCGAAGAATAAATCAGTATCCTTTTGCGGCTGATGTGCACAACCCCTCGTCAAATCATCCAGATTGTTGCCCATCTCTATGATGCCGGGTCTGTTAAAGTGATCGCTCAATCTCAGAGCAGCGAAGGAAGATCGGTTTTCCAACACTAAGCTGACAGACAAAATTTGTTATTTTAATAGGGAAGTTTACAACGAAATTTATATCATGAATGTTTCATCGTTCACGTTTGCTCAATTAATTTAAGATATCAATTTAAGTAACGTGTAACTGTCACTCCGATAATTTGATCGTACAGTTGTCTCAAAAAGAGATGAGTTTTAACGTCAGGACAAATGAAAATTTAAAAAACGATATTTTTATCTGCAAACTTGGCTTGCAAATTTATACAAAACTAGCTGGTATTATATTACCATAATTTGCATATAATCAACACGATTTGCATGTTTAATATAATCAAGCGGTGTATTGAAAATACTATCGAGATAACGCACATTAATAAAAGTAACTGAATACTTACTTGAGTAAGCCAGCAATGTTTGAGTGGAAATATCTAATGGCTGCATTCGAGTGTTCGTTTAGCACATTACCGTTGACTGTTTCGTCGTAATCGTCCACGTAATCTTGAGTGTTGTAAAGAATTTTGTTACCATAGACTTGCGTTGCGCCTGCAATATACATCGATCATTAACTGATGTTGCGATCTAAATAACAAAGGTGCATAATTGTGCGTCGAAAATAGATTGAAATTTGTATCTGGTGTTTCCACATTAGATTTGCGTTGCTTTCAAAACGAGCAAAGCTTACACGGTTATCATTAAACATTTGTTTTTAATTAAAGTATAAAAAATACTTTTATATTTAAATAAGACAGAACAATGAATTAGGCAATAGGAGTCAACACAAGACGTTATGTGTGAAACATAAATAGTTTAATACGTAAAAAATAGAAATAAAAATATAATTGCTAAAACGTCGTTTGACTAATGCCTAATTCGATGTTCTTTTTTAATTTTATTATTGGAGTCTGTTGATCTTCCTTCATTTTTCTTATTACATATATTAAAATATAAAAATGACAGCTCGCATGAGGATCAGTTTGTTCGAACCTAAGAAGATTGGCAGCCACTCGTAATACACAATATTCTGATGTTCAGCGATCACAATGCGGCGCGTTTCTTGGAATGTCGTTTCGTCGGTCCAGCGAGGATTCAAATGCGCCAGATAATCAGCAATACGATTATGTTCCCTGACCAGCATGACATGTAAAATCGTCAGCTGTGGATTTTGATTGGCTCGCGTATCACCTGCAAGGATAAATTTTCAGTATAATTTTTCAATTTTCTGTTTACATGATTTTCCCTTTAGAAATAATATGCTTTCCTTGATGAAAATATTTTGCTGAAAGTAACTACACGGAGAGAATTGTTTCAATGTTTCTCTCAAAATAAATATATCATAACTTTTTTATAAAACTCAATAATATAATGAACTATAAAGAATAGATCATTCAAAAATAATGAAAGCAATTTTAAAAAATGAGGAAATATTAGATAATGTGAAATTTGCTGAATTTAATTGAGAACTGTGTTACTTTTTAACGAAAAAGTTAAATAATAATGAAACGGGGTGAGAGAGATTTTCAAATACATTTCTGTAAGATTTCATGAAATATTCAGTAAAATATTTCCATCCGGCTTACGCAAATCGACTGTTGAGGCGAAACGCGTGTTTATTCTTACCGGTAGCGTAGCACGGCTCGAATTCGTAAACTGTGTCGCATGTGGCAGTTTTATTAGAAGCCGTCGGTGGAAATTCTCTGTTACGTTTCAATTCCACATTCAGACGGCCGCCAAAACCGGCTCGCAAACTAGCGGCAACTTCGTCACTCGATCCATAAACGTGCGAGAGGTCCAGATAGTGGGTGACTGTATTTAGCTAGAAAATTATCGCTCATATTAACCACGAATTAAGTAATCTTTCGACTTGGAATCTACCGAAATTATTCAGATACAAGTTATAATTAAGCTTAAAGAGTGTTAAAAATGCTGGAGTGTTAAAGGTGTAGAGTGTTAAAGATTTAGCGATTAGTCTCTACGAATACATGAAGATCAGAAATAAGTGAGATTAGAATGTAATGTCCATAATATATGTTTTTAATTATTTTAAAATGTTAATAATTTAACTTGTATTTATATTATATTTATATATAACATATATTTTACTCACATTTTAAAATAAACTGTCTTATATTAATAAGACAGTTTAAAAATATCAGTAAACGAGTAAAATTAACAAGAATAAAGCAATGCAAAACCTGTTCGCAACTGTCTATTTAATGTAACTTAATTGATAGTTGCGTAATAATTTTCTCATTGCCACACTTGCGTATGATATAATAATGAATGATATGAATGAAAAGTATAAAATAAATAAACGAGATGTGAAACCTGTTCCGCCGTGCGCGACTTATACGGAGACGAACAGCCACGATCAAGGTCAGTCGTACTACGAACGAAGTTCATACACTGTATGGAAGAGCCGCCGTACACCGGATCGTTCTCCGGTAATAATATCGGGAAGCATCGGGGCATTGTCGCCAAATCCGGTGCTACCTGGCCGTCCAATGTGCAGCATCGTGTGCTGTGTGATTCTGCGATTATACACACGTGGAAAGGTAAATATTCGTATTACTTTCTTATATATTAGCCAATGCACTTGCAATATAAATCTAATATTATATAATTATTGTTGTGTAATATTTACATTTATTCCAATGCATTTCTAATATATCCGACATTGGACCAATGTTTGGCCAATGCACTGTGCTACTAGGGTAATGTCAAATACTATTATACAATTAATAGTTGAGATCTTTATACAATCGTTTTCATATAATATATATAATTTTATAAATAATTGAGCAATTGCGAATATTTCTGTGATATTTCTGTTGTCTTTTAGATATAAACTCTACTGAATAAAATTATTCAAAGTCGAAAAGTACCTCCAGTGAAAATATATTTGACTGAAAAATATAATGAAATTTTGCTAAAAATGCATTAAAAAATCCCTCTCAATTATCCTGGCTTTATTATCGTTTTATTATCAATATTTCAATCAAAATTCAGCAAAAGAACCATGTCCCAAGTTTCAAAAGTAACAGTTTTTAATCAAGTTTAGTAAATTTTATATCTAATAATTTATAATCTTTTTATTATTTTTCAACATTTTAACTTTTCTTGTATTTTACAGTATTACATTGAGTTTCCTGCGGAAAATATAATTTCTTTTAGATTCATTCAGTAATTTTTTATTAGCTTTCATTTCACTTTTCAACGATTTCATGTACTTACTGCAACATATTTATATCAGGGACGATCTATACGCATATTCCACACATCAATTATGCCAGAAATATCGCCTTAAGATATCTTTTTAAAGATAACTTTTTGAGTAATGGAAAAAGGTATCTACCAGATAAATGTATTAAAAGGTCTGTTATAAAACATAAACGTATAAGAGGTCTAAAAGGCATCTGGTTTGAGAGAGTTCTTATATAGGATATCTGAAAGATATATTTTGAAAGAAATTAAACCAATAAATCTCTTCAAATCAACATTAAAATGTCATTTTAAAAATGATTTCTATAAGATATCTTTCGAAAAAGCTCTTTATGATATTTTATTTATTATGTCTATTTAATGTTAATATGGGAAGCCTGTCAAAGTTCCCGCTAGAGAGACACGCGGCATAGCACTCTCTCGTAAGAAAAAAACCGCACGTGGTATTATAAATTAATACACCCCCATGAAAGTTTTCAACTTTCCTCTGACGTTAAAGTGAGTTCTTTTACTATGCGATCTCTTGTCTATACTCGTATGATTTTCCTTCATACCATTTCTATCCTTTACACTGTCAAAAATTCCTTTCGAACTGCTTGTTAAATATTTCTTACCAAAGGCTTTGCGTTTTAAACATCTTAAAATGTATGTGTTATTGACATCCTAAACATGAACTCTCAAAGATGTCTGTATTACAGAATATCTCAAAAATGTTATCTTTCCAATGATTTTTGAAAGAAGTCTTTTTCTCTGCAAGTGGCGCATGATAATTCTTTCTCTTCATTATATTGTCTTTCCGAAGGTATTTTTCGATGTCCAAATCTTCAATAAGAGGACATTAAGAGAGATCTTTCTGTTATCATTTTGCTGTGTGGGATATTTATGTATTTGCTGTAGAATTGGTCAGAAGCCATAGAAATCTTATAGACATATTTGTAATTACTCAATTAACATGAAAACAATTATGACGGGGTCAAAGGTGACAAAGTGACAATCAGTATTGGACATCGACGCATTGACATCAAATTGATGTCAATTTAACTAATCACTCCTGAGTAGAAGCAACGTTTGACTTTGAAGCGTAACAAGAATCGCACAACGTACTCGATTGAGTCGTGCCGTCGATCAAGCCCATATCGTGCGTTATGAATTGTCCGTATTGCATCGCTACCAGAGTCCATACCATGTCGTTGACATCGTTATTCGGGAACATTGTGTAACTGAGAACCCGAGCTAATGGCAGATCCTCACCGAAGATTGATCCCGGCGGTGCTTGAATTCCTGTGTTAAACGAATTTGAAGAGAGACAACGATCGGAAAATTATCAAATGTTGCCGCGAAGTTGTTCCGCGAAAAAGTATCGATATCTCTTGATTTACAGATAAAAAGAAAAAAGGTATTGAGCGATTTGATAATAGACGCGATCAAGTTCTAGAAAGTTTACACGTTTTTATTTTCATTATATTACGAATACGTTAAAAGTTGGCGCTATTATAATTCGAAAGCATATCGGAAATTAAGCTTGAACTAGTTTCAGTTTCGTCACGTCACGGTTCGATACGCACAAAATCTATAAATCGAAACGCACGCTCGTATCTATCCCGTATTTGTATTCATCGTTTAAATTTATCGGCGAAATCTTTCGGTGAAATCTATTATGCAATTAGAATAAATTTAATTTAGAAAATCACGAGGCCGGTAATCATCTTAAAGGTGTAACATATAGCGACGTTATAATAAAAAATTTGTCTGAAAAATATCTTAACTGTAACTTTCCAAATTATCTGAAGATATCAGAAAGAAAACTATTTTTCCGTGATACTTTTTCTTTTACAACACGGGAAGGCATTTCGACTAGGTCTAAATTTTGAGAAAATTATAAGAAATATACGTACATGTAAAATTCATAGAAATCTTGAAAGATTTTCTCAGATGTGTATACATATATATAAAATATTATATATATATAGAGGAAAGTCCTATATTACGAGATAGTAAGTTTCCAACACCTAAATTTAATCACAAATCTTTTTTCGCAACGATTACACGTTCTAACAATGAATTTTCCGCTAAACAGATTTCGCTCTAAAAGCAATAAATTCATGATGGAATCAATTGATGATGCCTATTAATTTAATAGAAATCCCGCTATCTGATATTAGGATTTTATCTCATAATAGGGAATTTTCCTTTATATATGTTATAAAATATTATCAGAACTAAAGTTATTACTTAAATAAAATTGTACTAGGTGATACGTGTATCATATTGTAATATCGTGTTTGTACTTTGCTAGATGCGTGGTAACAGATATTAAATGAGTAAGCAAATAAGTTAAGTCTCGAAAATCGTTTTACGCAGTCAGGGGCCACTTATTTATCGCTTGTGCCAAGTCGACCGTGACAAAATTTAGAAAGGAATACCGTTGATGCAACGAGTCAATATTATCTAATATCACTGATCGAAGCCTTTCTTTACTATCACCTAAAACTTCCAGTTTGTTAAATGAAAATAGTTTTTTTTTACGTAGCTATTACTTTTAACAAAATAATTAATATGTTACCAGTCTTTTTGTTGCAAAACTTCCAGTTCTTTATTATTTTACTTTAGAATTCCACATGAATTAAAGAAAGACGTTTAATATTTATGAATCCTATATTATTGTGTATCTTTTCAACCAGTGTTATTAAAAATTTGTATTCGAATTTTCAAGATAAAAGAAACGTTATTCGAAATGACAGTAATTTTGTTACCAAATAAAATACGGTTATTTTTTTTACCATCGGATTTTATTTACCATCGCTGTAACGCGGACGTACGAGTCTCCCGTATCTCGTATTGGCCAGGCCCCAGGTAGGATTTCGTAGATTATTACAGGAACCATCGTAACTTCGATATCGCGAATGCTGACAGCTCTGGGGAAAAGTGTCACCGCACTGAATTTGTTGGTGAACATCGTTGCTCGTATTTTGACCGGAAGCGAAAGGCAAGCTGAAACGAACAAACACAGAACAAGTAAGACAAATATTTTTTATCACATCCTCAACAGTGCAAAATATGTACAGGATATCTGACACAAGAGGACTCCTACGAAAAATGGTGGTAGATTGAGTCAGAGAGAGAAGAAAAGTCGTGTAGCATTTTACAAAATTCGCATTAGTTAACGAATAATTTATTGAAACGTCTGAGCGAATGAGCGCGTAGAGAGCGGTAGGACGGGCTCGAGAGGCATGTCAGATAGCTTTCTATACCAGATCTCCTAGCAACGGTGAGCGAGAGGTGGAGCGACGCGCGACGTAAGGGCCTGAGCAGAATGGCTGTCTTAAGTGTATAAGACAGCCATTCTGCTCAGGCCCTTACGTCGCGCGTCGCTCCAATGTTTTATGTCTTAAGAGTACAAGACAGCCATTCTGCTCAGGCCCTAACTCCGCGCTGGAATAAAACAGCGAGCAATGTATTTATGTCCCGTGTCGTTCATTGCTCGCGCTCGCTGGAGACCCTGTAATCAGAGACCGGCCATAAGGGTTCGTCAAATTTCTGCGAGTGAGAGAGAAATATAGGCTATTTCACTCTTCTACGATCGTAACGAATTTGACGAACTCTTATGGCCAGTCTCTGATTACAGGGTCCTCTAGCCGCCCCTCGCATGTCTTTCGAGCCCGGCCTACCGCTTTCCAAGGATTCATTCGCTCAGACGTTTCAATAAATTATTCGATAACTACTGCGAATTTTGTAACATGGTACATGACTCTTCTTCTTAGTCTGACCCAATCTACCACCATTTTTCGTAGGGGTTCTCTTGTGTCAGACAGCCTGTATTTATTTAACTCTCTATAATCCAATTTTTTTAGCAAATTATGTAACGTGAAACTACACGGAGAGAATTTTCTCCTACAATGAAAATTATCGTGGGACATGGCATTTTGAAGAATTTTATGAGAGTTTTTTTGAAGTCTTACCATACCTTTTACTATTATAGTAATTACACTTAGTATACATTTTACTAGTAAAGTGTATGGTAAAGTTTCAAAAATTCTCATAAAGTTCTTCAAAATGCTGCCCCACGTTTACATGATTTTCAGGATAAATTTTAAGAGGAATTTCTCTCTGTGTAGCAAACGTTAATCTTCGGATGAAACTAACAAATAATTTACACTTTGTAAACGTTTTTATTCAGGTATAAAACTCATAAAAGACAGACTCAGCAATTCGCGGTACACACAAACTTCTTGGTTACAATAAAGTACTACACCAAGTTACGGCGAAAAAATAAAATAAATCTTGACACAATTGTATGAATATGTCTTTAAAATTACATGGCGTTATAGAGGATTAGTATGCTATCATCTTGCACTTGAAACTAATTCTTTGTACATTTCTTGTTCTTTCATTTACATTATTTATCGACTTACTTGGAATTTGGGAAGCCCGACGAAGATGGAAAGTACGAGAACGTCGGATGTGGAGAATGATAGACAGTCGGACGATAGGAACCAGAGAAATGATTATGAACCGTGAACATTTTGTAATACGAAGTTTCCGACCCTTCTAAATCCAGGAGCTTCTTTTCTTGCTCTTTTAAACATAAATTAGCAGATCATATATATTGCATATATATATATATATATACTGATGTAAACTTTATTATGTGTAAAAGAAAATAGTGTATATGCAAAACAGAAAATATGCCTATTAATATTAATCGCAATCGTTTTATTTAAGTCTTCAATTTCTCGACGATACTAAAGGGTCTCGGCTTACTGCCAGTAGTCTTATATAAACGATCGCCTTTAGATTTTTACAGTGCCAGCAATCGTTTCGCCAGGAGTAACTCCTCTAGAACTTTCCCACGCAAGACGATCAAGGTTTATTCGCGACAGAAGACATTTATCTTAAAGTTTGTACAGGTACACCGCACTCGACGCGAAGCAAGATCTCCTTTCGTTTATCGTATTTGCCATCGAATACGGCAGCGATCGCAGCTGCCGAGACGATTAATGTAGATTCATCAATAAAACAGGTGGACTCGTGATTTAAAACAGATCCGCGAGCGCGGGAGAACCTTTCACCGTCTACGACGTGAACGTTAAATGTTACATTGACGACAGATGTAATCGGTTTGTGCATAATGGATCACTGTTTAATTTACAGGACCTCTTGATGCCGAGAAGGTCTCTCTCCCGGAAATGATCCCCTCGGCTAAATTGGCGACACAACGAATCGTGAGCTATATGTAGGTGCGATCGCGAAACACGGAGTAAGGGGATAATCTTTCGCAACGTCTCGTTCACCGTTAAATGTTATCCTGGCGACAGGCTATACCGTCACGATTCGATAATTTCTTCGTACACACTTGGTGCAACATTTCTCGAATGTCGTTTACCACGTATACCCAGGCCAAACAAGAAATCAAATGACGTCAGAATGACATCGTAATGACTACATAAAAATCATATTTTGATCATGGCAAAAAATTGATTAAAACATGATTTTGAAATTTAGAAATGCCGTTTCACGATGTTTTAAACTTATTGGATTATTTGCAATATATTCATAATTGTATGTTTGAATATGACAATAATGAATAGTAATAGATGTTAATAGTACAAAATGTTGATGTTATTATCATAACAAAATGATTTGTATGATAAAGTGCAATATTTAGTATTTTGTGTTCTTGAACCTTTATTTTGTTTCTTGTGAATGAAAAGTTAAAATATCAGTGCTTCAAAAATCATATATTTTCACAATAATACTTTTAATTAACTTTTTGTTCTGCTTAAGTAGTCGTTGAACCGTATACGGAAGCAATGCAAGTCGTATATATTATCGAATAAAAAACGAACGTACGGCATTTTAATTTTCAAGTTTCCAATTCTTATTTTTGTCGAATATTTGATATACTTTTATGTTAACGTAAAACACTCGTATCGCAGGAACGATCGCGGCACATTCACGCTATTTTGCACAGATTATATTCACAGAGTTTGCGGATGTAATTCAACGCACGTGAGTGCATTTCGCGGCTAGGCAGCTCTGCGCTGATGGAGAATCCTTGATTGCCCCGAGTAACCTTTCTTTTACCCGATTTTGCACCGCCGCCAGACCTTCTCTCGAAAACGTAACGTGCCTTTCAGTGGCATGCATAAGTACGCGTGCATTTTCTATCTCACGAGCCGTTTCTTGCCATTAACTCCCACCTGTTGCACAAGGAACGTGCCGCGTGTATAAGGTAACAGTTTCTCCACGCCATATCGGGCGTCACGATTATTGATCTTGTTATTACCGTTAGAGAAAACAAAGAGATATTCCAACTAGATCACTATAATGTTCTCTGTAAACTTACGTAATGGACTTTACTGGCCAAGTACTAAATACCTTCGACGAGTCAAGCGCGAGAAAAGCATGTCAAGATCCGCTGCGAGTGCAGCTGGCTAACCAGCATTGATATGAACGGTTTCGTTTATCACGTCTAGAATTTTATTCTAAGAAAATTATTGAATTTAAAGTTAGCTTATTAAATTTTTTAATAAGACGCACTTTAACTTAAAGATTGCGAGTGCCAAAATCAGTCGTAAATGATACGAGAAATTGCTATTAAAGTGTGTATAATTATCTCACGATACTAGTCTGCACGTGTACTTTCCTTCTCTCAATCTCCTTCTCTAAATCTGATCATAATTCGTGTCAGAGCGGACAAAATAATTGGAGAATAAACGGGAAAAAAAGAACGCTCCGAGAGAACGGTGTGTGTCAGAAGTAAATTGTGTGCTTTCATGTCAGAGAACGTTCTACATGATTTCTTGCTACGGTTTCCAGTTGATAGAATTAGAGCTGTATTGTATTTGAAAGTATCAATAAGATAATAGAAGAAATGATTATAAAATAATCGTAGTCTGTTTTCAAAATAAATTGACATTTCAATGCATGTACAGTGCAGAATGAGCCACCCAACTAGCACACTGTTAATGGATAAGCATAATAAGCTAATATTATTTAGGATTATTTAGTTTGTTAAATACAAAGATGTTGAATATCTTATTATCCACTAGTTTCCGAACCAATAAATGGTAACTTTTCCTCAGAATTTAACATATTTTCGAATTGCGACATAAAAAATATAACATTTTATTTAAGAAAACAAAGTTGACTTTTAAATCTCTGAAATGCCTTTAGTTATATATATATAAAAGTGCGTACATTATGTAATGATCCTCTCGAAATTATGTAACTTTTATATGTAACAATTTTTCATACAACGCGTAATTTATTAATTATTCACGATTCGAATTGGGTGTCTTACCCTGCACAAAAGTAAGGTTTACAATTATCTTTTTTGATTCGATTAAGAAATTAATTTTGTAATCAAAGAAATTAATTGCGACATAACAAATATGACATTCAATTAGAAATTAAAGAGGCCGTTTAGGACCGGGCATAGGTGTAAGTAGCCAGTTAAATTAAATTATTAAGTGAATTCATACACCGTATTCTTTCCAACTTATCCGCCAGTTACATACTAGTCTTTTTTAACACAGGTTAATCCCCGTAAGTGGAAGTGTTATCGTCAGTGAATTCACGTTTATAAATTATTTTAATAATGCTACATTAGCATCTAATATGATAACCCTCTTCCCCTTATAATTTATTCCACTACCAACCTATGCCCGGTCCTAAACGGCCTCTTTAATTTCTAATTGATTTTATATCTTAAAGGACCTATGTTAAAAATTGTAGTAAATATAACATTTATTCAAGAAAACAAAGATCAATTATTAATTCATAATTAATTTTTAAAAAAATCTAGGCCATTCTACATGCACTTTGTAATGATGTTAAAAAATTGCAAAAATATTTTGGCATTACTGGAACTTAATCTTATTAAATTTTTATGAAATTAGCATAAAAATGTGACTTCTTTATTCGAGAAAAGAGCAATGGTTACCTCTATGCGATAAAGTGGCCTGTTTCTTCGTCGTGGCATCTTCGGTGTTCACGATTGCTAGCAAACTATCCTGCAAAAGCACTGTTATAAGGAAGGCTACGACCCAGAGATCATTTTGACCTCGCATGTTTCTGAAATGTAAATATAAAATGTATTTATAGGTAAGATAACTTTTAATACATTTAAAATGGTATCACTAGTTATTATATTATTCACTTATTGTTGGCATTTATAATTTGACTTCTCTTGGACAATGCCTACAAAACTAAAAGTACGTGATATTATATTTCCAAACGGTATCGTTGCGAGTCAATTTATTCCACATACAAAATTAATGTCATCGGGCACTTTAAATTCTTGATTTAATCGCGAATATTTTAGAGGTATCGAACATTTTACGCGGAAACCGATATTACGGTTCTATATGACACAGTACGATCTCGAAGTAAAACTATTTTACGAAGCTTGTTAAGCACCTGCTTTTATACAATGTCAGTTGAATATCGTTTCTATCAGATCGAAACCCTAATGCATATTAATTTCCGTATACATCGAAACGGAAGTTGAATTTACGATACAATGAAGCAGATGGCACGAACACCATTGCGTTACCTTGGTATTATTTCCACCTTGGCGATATTTTTTGAGACATGCGCAACTCTTTCTTTAGAGATGAGTATTCCAGTATATCTTTCCCACGCAAGAGGCGAGTATAAATTTTAACTTCTTTTTCTAAGATAACCATTAAGGAATTTTAATGTCCGCAATAAATTCAGGAAAAGGAAGCGACGACGTTTCGCGAAAGAAATTTTCTCGCTTGTGGTATTTACGTTTTCCAGCGTTGATCTTCATCTTACTGACATTGCGACAGTAACTCAATTTCCCGCTAAGTGCATGGAAATCTAACCACATCTGCGGTTGCATTCACTTTCCGGATGCTTACATGACTTCTTCACCTGATGTACGCATTGAAATGCATATCTTGTTAATGGAGTTTGTGAAATAAGATTGGGCGTATACGAGCGACAAAGAGATCGGTGAAGATTTGCTTCATTATGTATGTACAGAGCAGGCCTGCGGCCGGACTGCACTCTTTTCGACCGATTTTGTCTATTTCCACTCCTCTTGTATCGTAGCATGTAGGCTGCTCGCGGAGACGTAAGACGTTCGGTCTAAGGAACGACATTAACGACAAATCGTATGGGATTTCAGCATGTTGCCCCGCGAGAAGAGAGAGAGAGAGAGAGAGAGAGATATTATTATGATTTTTATATTATCAAGTTAAAACTAATAGTAAAATGACACCCGTATATGTTAATAGAGGAAAGTCCTCTATTATGAGATAGGATTCTAATGTGAAATAGTAGGTTTTCAATGTCCAAATTCAAAGACAAATCTTTTTTCGCAACGATTGTCGTTAACGATATCGATTGTTGTCGGTAGTCGTGCACGGAATCGCGCCCTTGAAGCCCGCATTAGACTAGAGATTGATATTGAGATTAGATTGAAATTTGACTAATCAGAGTAAACTTTACTAATATCAATTTTCCTTCAAATTTGTGTTTATCACATTTGAGCCATATGAATTTTATTAATTAAATGTCCTAAGAAAACGTAATTAGATCTCAATGATTAATAACATTGAATATTCAATAAAAGTGTCACATCTCGGAAGGTCTGATGATTTTAGAATTAGATATAATTAGATCTTACATGATTGAGACATATATGTATAATGAGATATTTCCATTTTTCCCGGGATGTGTCTATAATATAATCCGATAGAATCTAATCGTTACGTAGAAAATTAATCGTTATCGGAGATAATGCAATTCTAGGAAGTAAATTACACGATTTTTTATTATTTCATGTATTTGTAATAAATTTGATTTAACAGGATAAACTATTGGCATTCTTTTAATAAATTGATTGCCGTCTGCCGTCTGGAATTTTAAATGCTCACGAATATATTATGCAGAGACTCGGTTCCTCCCGTTTTACGTTTCTAATTACAATTAGATTACGGCGAATATTTTTATCGCGCCGGTTCGTTATAATACGCGTAAAATGTGCCTTTACGTGCGCGGAAATATAGGCTTCGACATGTATAAATAACGTATAAAACGTGGTTTTGCAGAAACATATAAAAACTCTTGCTTGGTGCAGTTTTATGTTAGGAAGTTAACGTACATTGAAATAAAACTGATCAGGTGTGCGGTGTACGAATCGGTTTGAGTCATTCTTGTTACCGAGATACATTTGTGCTGCATTGCGACACATTATGAGACAGCACTAAATCGTTCGTTAAAAGTTCGAAGCAACGCTCGATTACGCGTACGGTACCAGAAGTTAGTGTCGTAAAAGTAATAATAGCGATTCGAGTCAGCAATCGCGTATTGTCTTACTCATAAGAATCCTGCCATATAAAAACAATCAATTTCTTACAACACGGTTAATCTGAAGGACACAACGCTCTTGCTGCCGTTATTTGTTATACGTAGTCAATTTAGAAGTAAGAAATAATACCAAGATAACAATTACAATTGGCTTCCGCGTCTTAATTCTTTTCAGCATTGAAGTCTTCCTTAAATTATCTCGTGTTACATCTTTGAATTTTTTTATAAGCAAGGCAAACCTTTGGAGTTATCTATTATGAATATCTAGAATTATTTTTCGTATATTGAGAGAGAATTTCGAATCTGTTTTACCTTTAATTAACATGCGCGGAATATTCAAGACCACACTCACGTTTTAAACTTGTATTATTATATATGTAATATTATTTGAAGGAAATCTCCATCTCTCTGAACTTAATGCCACTTAATTCATTTATCATGTTAATTTCTTGTAAATATATTTTCTTTTATGTAGTGCAGGGTGTATAATAAAATAAGGATTAAATATGTATGTCTTACAAGGAGAAACTAAGCGCGAGTATAACTACAGGTTAAATTATTGAAGGTAATTATTTATATAACTTATGCAATGTAGAATGTTAAATTGTTCAAGCCCAAATTACAGGATAATTTTAATAGATAACAGATGACCTTCGAATCAATTATTTATTAGTGAAACATTTAAAGAAGATGTTTCAGAAGCTACAGTGTTTTGCTTTTAATATTCGATACTATCAGATGTCTGTAATGAAGATCCAGATTTAATAAGATAGTAATTGTTTCAGGTGGCGCCTTTATATTTATCGTCACGCACAATTATTCTCGGGTCGGCGTTATTCGATATCGTTTGATATCGTTTTATGCATATTTTATGCATAAAATATCTTCTTTTTAGAGAGACTACAAGAAACTACATTTCATACCTTGATATCTTATTTCACATGTGTTAATGAAATGTGATATGTGCAATCTATCTAATTATATAAATATGATAAGCAGTTTTATTTTATTTTACCAGGACATTATATACGTATTATACATATACTTATACACCTGGGACACGTAATATCTGTTACATTTATCACAATTTTTTCGACTGTGAACCAAGAATTGAATGCCTTTTCTAAAAATGACTTACAAATGAATAAATAACTGTGTAAACGACGATAAAACTGATAAAACTCCGAGTAAAAAGTACGATTTTGACTATTGTATTTCAAAACATGAATTCTAGCTTCGAACGCGGCAAATAAAATAATGTTTTTAATTTAATGGTCACGTAATTTTTTATGATTAACGTGTGTGCAATGAGCAGCGATAATGCTTCTGTTGAGCTTTTAACAAAGTGAGAAGAGCGCGCTCGTGCTCGTCCGCAGTAAAAAATAATTAATCACTAGATTAGGGCGTGATCGCGCGCGATTGCGCCTCCAAGACCTTCCAATTGCGACGATAGCCTTCGCGCGTCAAGGCGCATGCAAAGGATCTGCGCGTTGCCACCTGGCTTTTCCCATTTATCGGCTTGCACAATCCGTGGCAATTCGTACCCCATCAAAGACTGACGTTGTATGTATATAGTTGCGGCTAACAATGGTCCATTCCAACTAGATTTTTTTCTTGATTAACGCTTATTCGTGGACGTCATTCTTGTCTACAATGCAACTTTTTGATCTTCATGAGTAAGATTTGTGTAAATCCATTGTATCGTGCGGAATTAATAATACATGATACGAAAAAGATTTTAGATAAACCATCAGAGATATGCAAATTTCATGCAAAATTAATTAATTATTTGATAATTACTTCTAGCTGATATGTTATGAATAAGGTACTTATTGCTGAAGGCGAATAGTTTTGTTTCCAAGTCTCTATGCAACTATGATATTAATTCATAAGATCTTTTTCGAAACCTTCAATTACGTATCGCGAAACTCCTATTTTCTTGCAGTTGCATTGAATTATGACGTAAGGAAAGTGGCGTAGAAATTAATTTATTTTAATATACATATACTGCATGAGAGGAAATTAATATGATTTTTCACTTCTGATGTTACGATAGTATATACCTGCAATGAGGACACAGGAATCTTAAGCCAGCGAATGTTAGAAGCGTAACTAGTGTCACTTAATATTTAATAAGTTTTAAGCTTGCAGTAACCACCTAATAAATATGAATTTCCATGAGTAAGTGATTCGATCATGCTCGCACGCATGAGAGAACTTGCGAATGTACACCTAACGAGCAAGAAACTGTGAGGTAACTTACTGGAAGTGCGTAGTAACTACAGTTGCAGTTAAATGTTAATGAGTCGCTTGCGAATCTTCATGATTTATTAGGTGAAAATTTACTATGAAACTTCGCGTAATTATCGTGAAATCACATAAATTTTAATACTTCAGTACTAAGACGTGAATATTAGTTAATATTAATTAGTTTTAATTAATTTACTTTAACTTAATATTAATTAATTTTTTAAATGGGTCAGGTTTACGTAAAGCAAATATATTATTTATTATTTGTGCAATATTGAGCTGCACATTTTTGTTACAAGATATATTATCGCAATACACATAATACATAATCAATGTAAAATAAATTTTATACTATATAAAAACAATTAGGCAACTATTATATGCTTTAAATTAATTTAAAATGTCTTTTCTAATATGAAGAACTAAGGCTGTTATTACATTTGTTGCGCGACAAATTTTTTAAGTGTGTTGATTGGCTGCAGGAAAATTTCTAGATATCACTACTCTACTCGAGAACTTTACTATCCTGGAACCAATCAACATGCTTGAAATTTGTCGTACGACAAATGTAATAATACTATGCCTACGAGTAATTTTGGATTTTTTAATTCGCATTAACTTGAAAGATTTTATTCATTTCCCGATAAATCGCAGCGCTCTAATTTATATAATTAAAGTACTTATATATTTCTGTACAAGAAAGTCTCTTATTATAAGATAAAGATGCGCTCCTAATATGAGATAGCGAAGTTTCTGCTAAATTAATAGGCATCATCTGTTGGTTTCACCACGAATTTATTTGCCCTTGGAATAAAATCTGTTTAGTGGAAAATTCATTGTTAGATCGTGTAATCGTTGAGAAAACATTTGCGATAGAACTTGAACGTTGCAAACCTGCTATTTCATATTAGAAGCCTATCTCATAATAGGAGACTTTCCTCTATGTATAGAGAAAACAGCCAAAATGTGTTAACAACATACTCTCGTAATTATTGACCAAGAATGAATAACCAAATCGACTAATGAGGAATCGAGGAATCACCTCGCATGCATGTCATATATGGATACTTACAATGTTTAACGAAAGATTTAGGTAGCCCGGCAGCGTACAATTCATTTGTGCTAAAGGTAACAGGAATTACTACACTATGCTTTTAATTACTTTGACCATGATTCGTGACATGTGTATTTTTTAGGAATTTGGCCTCTACCTTTATTAAAGAAATACGATTGATGTTACTTCTATTCGATTCTACAAAAAAAAAATTGATACAGAAAAACTTCTTTTAACAGAATAAAAAATTTCAGTTTAATAACTTTATTTTTAAGTAATAAATTAGTATGGCTCATATGTGTTAAACACAAATTTCAAGAAATAAAGGACTCAGAGCCGTGACAGGGTGGTGCCTAAATATTTTATTCTAAGTTTTTTTTTAAGAATTTCTCTATAAAAATTTACATTTGAAAATAAGAACGGAAATGAAAATAGGATGTTAAAAAATATTGCAACATAAATAAGCTCAATCTGGATGCAGGTCAAATACGATCACTTAAAACTATAATAGATTAAAATTGATACAATTTCGTTTAATTTTTCTATGCTGGAAACAGGAATCTTGCGTTTATTGATTACAAATGTAAAAATGTAAAACTGCCACCCAAAATATAACTCACCAAAATTTTATTGGTTTCAGCCCTCGAAGAATGTAAGAGAGACCGAATCTCGTATAGTTAGCTCGATTTTACCTCAGGAGGCAGGAGAGACGTTGTATATGCACTGGAAACTACTTGAAATAATGAGCAAATCTTGACAGTGACTATAACTAGGTAATGTTCCAACACGTGTTGACGGGAACAACTGAATGAGTAACAGATTCGAGTCGAACTATATATATGACGGGAGAAAGTAGACGGACACTACTTTGTCGACAACCCCACGCTGCCGAAAGCTCGGTTGCTGCTACCTGTCAGGCTCAAAGATCGAAAACGTTCACTGAGAAAAACCGACCACATCGCGGTTTGACTTTTCAAATTCAGCTACAACGCGAGATTGGTGTTATGGCACTTAAAAAATGCTCACAATGTATTTTGGCCCATTTAAGAAAACCACAAAACGAAATTCGTGCACTGAAAAAAATTTCTGGTTGAATATGGACGAATCAGATAATTCTTTTAGGATTTACCAGAATTCCTGTAATCCTACAGAAATTCTGGTAAATCCTAAAGGAATTCTGGTAAATCTTAAAGGAATTATCTAATTCGTCCATATTCAACCAGAAATTTTTTTCAGTGTGTAGATGTTCTTTTTATAATCGACCAAAACGCATTCTGGCAGTGTAAAAATAGCACATCGCATTATGGATGCTCTTTGATATAGCCATAACACAATGTAATACAAATACCTGCGTAAAAATAATTAACAACCCACACTGAGAGACCCATTTTCTTGAATGAAATAAAATTTAGTTGACTCAACTGAATTTCTCGTTTGGATATGGGCAAACAAATCTTTCAGTTAATACAACAAAAAATTCAGTTGGAAAATTTGGTTATATCAACATATAAGAACCCGAGAAATAATTTTCAAGGATATGACTATAAAAATACATACATATACGTATATGTATAGAGGAAAGTCCTCGATTATGAGATAAGATTCTAATGTGAGATAGTAGGTTTTCAACGTCCAAATTTAATCGCAAATCTTTATTCGCAACGATTACACGATCAAAATCAATTTTCCACTTAACAAATTTTACTCCAAGGGCAATAAATTCATGATGGAACCAACAGATAACGCCTATTAATTTATCCACGCAACAAAAAAGTCACAAAGATATCTAGGAAATATCTAAATATTATAATATCTGATACAAAAACTATTCAGATATCGCTTGAATATTTGAGAGATGTCTTTCAGATTTTAAAAATTATTTCATCTGAGATGTGATATAATATTAGATTTTATATTAAATATTGGATATCTATATTTTAGTGAAATCGGATTTTACGTATTACAGAATAGGCACATGTAATAAATTAGAAATATTTTTCTTTATAAGTTGCGGTATAAATTATTAAAGAACACCGCCTCCATAAATCAGCATTTACTGTTTTATACTATTATTGTAAACTCATATTAATTTTTTTCATTTTTCTATCGTGCTATTTCTTTTTTAACAATAAAATTGAATATCCAACACAACTGGCTACAGGAAACTTCCTTTATTGTAACACAACGTTTCGACCATGGATTTTGACCCCTTGCAAGTATATTCTACAGCTTCTAGTCGGCGTATAGCATGAATACGAGTATCGTTTAAAGAAGCAATTGTCATCCGTAATTATCGCAAGAAGTAATTTCAAGATGTATAGATCTCATGTGTAAATTGCGCGAGATACGAGTATCTGGCTTGCCAGTTAACCGAGCATCGATGGCAAAACGCGGGGATTCAGCGATCGCGCGATTATATCGATCGCTAATTATTCGCAGAGAGCGATCGCGGTTTCTTCTCGAATTTTCGCAAGCGCGTATCAAGAAAAACACGCGCTATGCGGAACGGCGCGGGCGTAACCGATTCATTCAATAGTCGCCACGTGAATGACCTTGCGTACGGCGTGATCGTGTGACGCCGAGCGCCGTAGACTGAGCGTCGATTCAAAGAGATGACGTAGCATTGTAAACAACACAGTCGAAAACCGAGCACGGGTTCCAAGAAATGACGTAGCACGTTAACACCTCGGGCAAAAACAGTTTATCATTCGGCGCGGCTCAGCCGAACGAGACGGATGTTCCGCGTGTTTTCGCGTCGCTCTTCGTATCAATCGCTTGCCAGGAAATAATCTCTCGAACAATTATACGTACAAAAGTGCGCGTATAACATAAAGTTTCCATTTTCGTCGCGTTCGGGAGTGCCGTTTAAATAATCGAACCAAAGACTTTTCAAACGGGAGTGTAAAATCGCGCGAACGATCTGTGTGTTTTCGCGAGTGTGCCAGTGGACAATCTGAGAGGAGGAGGAGGCCCGGGAGAGGCATCAGGCGCCGGCGGAGCAACTTTAGGGTAAGTATTTTTTATTTCGTATAAACTAATCTTCCTTTCATTATTTTCAATAATTTAAAAATTATTTTCTTGAAGATTGGGTTCCTTGAATACTCTGTTCTAATGTGAAATTTTTAATTCTATGTTACAGACTCGTCGTAGTTAAACTCCGCTGCTGCGCTTCGTGTGGTGGTGAGTCAGACACTTTTTTATTAAGGCAACGAATCTACTTCTCGTAGATCGTAGATAGTAGATGTAGATCGTAGATCGATTAGTATATCTCGTAGATCCGTTGCCAAAATGGATAGAGTACAACAAAATTTCATATTTATTTGTATACATATCATCTATCTATCGATCGCGATTTTTACCGTGGAGGGTTGGGTGCCCCGTTACAGCACATTACATATTTTCACGCAAAATATGACGAATATTATTATGTATTCGTCGAGCTAATCCTCTGTAGTCTATCCATTTTTCATTAACAAATTTATATATAAAGTGAAACGATATGACGTGAGATACTAATATTTTGTTGAGAACACTGAAACTTTATATTATTTTCACACATTATTTAAGATTATTGATTAATTAGAATATTCATTTATCCGTCTATCTCTCGTACGGAAAGTTTCTTTTCTCTAGGTTTCACGTCATTTCTGTATATGTTTTCTGTATATCATTTTCTGTATATGTATTTCGCGATACACTGTCAAGATGCTTCTCGCATGAATACATGCACACACCCACAGAAAAAATTTCTTGATCCAATGCTATTACACTTGAATGTATCATAAAATAGGATCGATATAACGCCAATCATGTTTATTACAAAGAAAGGAATATTTTAATCTTAAATAAAAAATTCTAAAATGTAGAATAAAATGATAGTATGTATCGTCTTTTGTTGAATATCGTGGTGCCAACTTCGTGCGTTGTAAGATGAAGGGAAAATTTATTCTAAACGTAAGAATATATAAACTTACATTTATATGTATAAGTTACTTTTGTCTCAATATAGCAAGTCACTCTTTTTAAATTTGATAGAGGAGAATAAGAAATATTGATTTTATTTTGACATTTTCTTATTTTTATACTGAATGAGGTGAGAAATATAAATACGTTAAGAATATTTTTTGTCTCAGTAACAGAAATCCTTTCTGAGGGTGTAGTTACACGCATCTTCGTATTTTCGCGGTCGGTTTTCGCGATCAGTTCTTTAAAAAAATTTCGAAAATTATTAATAGTTTGATTTCATCGATATTATAAATTTAAATTTATCGCGGAGTAAATTGTTTCTTTCTATGTACTTATATACTTGCATTTTGAATTTAAAGATTGAGTCACGTAGAGACAGTCGTATAATATATATATTCTATATCTATTCTCGAATAAATAACGGAAGTAAAAATATATTTGATTAGTTTTATACGGAAAAATTTTTAATTAATTTTCTTCTTTATTTAACTTCTCGCGGTCGTGCATTTTGCGATACGATTGACATTCGTATATTCAAACCGTACGAAATATTTGTCGGTGACAATAACCGACTATGGAAGGAGTTTTCTTCCTTTCTGATCTCTGGTCAAAATGACCAGATTATATGGCCGGGAACAACGAATGGTAAGTCCAATCTGGCCCGACGAAGGAATACGACGAGGCAATATTGACATATTGGCCTTTGATGGAGTATGTAAGTAAGGTGTTGTACGAAATAAGTTGACTTTATCTCATTTGCCAAAATTCGGGTGGGTTATATTCTTATCTTCTTTACATATTCTCGCAAACGTGCAAGATTAAAAAGATCCCTGTTAAATCCTTATTAAATTGCGCGCGTATAACCAAATCGGACTTCTTATAAATCGCGTCGCGGTTTTAACGAAAGACTTGTATTGTTTATTAATAAAAAGTTGAAACACGGGTAGGTAGGAAAATGGATAGGACTATACAGCGGAATACGGGTAGGTTGGTAGAGATTTGGGTAGGCAGGGATAAAGGAACATAACTCGATAATGATAGCCAATGTACTGTCAATGTAAATGCAATATCATGCAATTATTGACACGTAACATTGGCGTTACATTAGTATTTATTCTATATTCAACATTACAATTATATTGGGCAATGTAGCCAATGCACTTTCAATGTAAACGCAATACCGTGCAATTATTGATTGGCACGTAACATAGGCGTTATATTTTATATTCAATGTTACAATTTTATTGGCGAATCTTGGCCAATACAATTTCAATATCAATCCAATATTAAATAATCATCTAGGTGCAACATCAGTAGTATATTTAGATTTATTTTATGATCAATATTGGCGTTATATTGAGAAAATATTGGCCAATGCACTCCCAACATAACCAATGAATCAATTTTTGATTCTAAATACCAGTTATGAATATTGAAAGAATTGGTTGATTACTTTAGTCTCTAGGTTGATTACTTTAGTCTCTAGGCAACACCAGAATTAAACGTATTTCAGATATTAATATAATTAACACATTAAATGTAGTTACATATATGTACAATATATTGCAATCAAGTCATGAAAGATATATGGATATTTCATGATATGGTACAAATACACATACACAAGCGCAGGTAGACTGATGAACAATCCGTATATTCCTACATAGGAATAGTGACTGACAATATACAGTAAGTAATACCATTCGTGAGTTGTAAAACATATTATAGTAAATAGAAATTGGTATGCTGATTTTGCAATTATCTAAACAACTATTTAGACATTAATTAATAAGAGTCTACGAAGAACCGTACATTCCAAGCAGTGTTAAACGACGAGCTGAATCTGACGCGTTATTCGTAGTTGCTGAACGTGTACACCTTTCAGCAGTTTTAGGAAATGTACTTTATAAAAGTATCTAATTACAGTTACAGTTCTCTCGCTAAAAATGTAACTAGTTACAGTTACAAGTTCCAGTTACGAATTCTGAAAAGTAACCCGTTATAGTTACAATTACTCAAAAAGTAACAAATCGTTACTTAGCAGTAACTTTCTTACAATAAAAATAAAGATGTCAAATTTGCATTAAAATTGTTACGTGTCGATAAGGGCTTTTATGCGCTTATGCAAGGGCTAATGCGATCTGTGGAAGTTTAACAAATATATGAAGTAACTATAACAAAGTTAAGTTAGAATTACCAAAAAAAAAGTGACTGTAATTGTAACTTCGTTACAAGTAACGAGTTACTTCCCAACCCTGATATTTGCAGGGACAGACTAACCGTATACATACATACATATATATGTATATGTATATATACTCACTTTATGTATGTAAATAAAGAGATAAAAATGTAATGTTTTTTCTCTATTTCAATCAGACAATATATTATATTAAATATTATATAAAACGAAGGAAAGGTTTAGTACATAAAAATATACTAAAATATTGTATAAATAAATATTTATTATTAAATAAAAACATCCGTATCATTTCTTTTTCGATTACTTCAGTCGAATAAACAATTGAATAAATGAGACATTTTAGACTGCGTCTTACGAAATATCCGCCATATTGATATACTCGCATCGGCAGTGCAAATATGTGGTAATTTTATCAGGTGAGCTCTATGCGACTGTAGTATTATTTGTACGATAAATTTTTCACATATTTATAAATTTTTATAATAACATAGATATAATACAAAATAAAGTTGTTTTAAAAACTTTCTTAAAATATCTTAATAAAGAATCGCATGCTTTATATAACATCATGTATCTAGATGTATGCTCCCATTATCGGTTTGGTCCATAATATTTTCAAAATCAAAACTAAATTTTTTTAAACTACGCGCGCGAAGCGACTTCTTAGTAATAAATATAGTCATATATATTACTATAATATATTTAAGTTCTAATACACAATTATAAGTATTGGAAATAATCTCAGTTCAAATTATCGCGAATCATATCAAACAGTCAATTTCAAAATTATAATTATAATGTGTCATGAGCAAATCATTTAGAGTTCATCACGATTTCTTGTTCTGTTTGGGTATATTTCTATGATAAATTTTAACATATTAGAAAACGTAATACAGGAAAGAAAAAGAAAGATTATAATGTTGCAGCAGTGATTAAAAATATATAATGTTAGGATACGAATACTAAAATGTTCCAATTTTATAATTATGCAACAAATATCTTATATTTCGAGGTCAATTAAAAAGGATGAAAGTGTTGCAACAATAAAATGTGAAAATTGACTGATTTGTAAATAACGCAAATAAATGGAAATGTATTGTTAGTCAAATTGGATCTTTGTGCCCAATAATTTTCGTTAATTTATATATAATATATATTTCTCACTCAACAAAGTATACGGCAATTAGATCGGACTTGAAACGCAATCTCAAGTTGAAGCTGAAATTTACGTCATTTATCAAATTTAATAATAAATGTATAAACAAAAGAAAATGTGATGCATTCACTAGTAATAATTAGTGGTAGAAAATTGCTAATATTTATAAATAGAAATTTGTTATGCGCAAGATGGTTTTTACACTAAAGTATTGCGTTAGAATTTTAAAGTTAGGATTTAAAAAGAGTGTTTATAATATAATTCACGTTGTACAGTTGATAAAATGTAATTTATTCACATACATGTATAATCTTGCTCACAAATTGCTTGCGAATCAATTGTAACAATAAATGAATGTTCGTATCGTTCAGTGTACGTACGCATTCATTATATTTATAATGTATACATTTCAAAATTATTGAAATTGATTGCAATTGTACAAAACGTTTATATGATCGTTAAATGAGTTCGTAAATTATTTGAGTAATTACTTTGGGCAGGTGTTATGCAAGTGTATAAAACATATTTCGATAATCTTACTTGAAAACGTTCACAGAATTATAATATATAAAAAAGTAATCATTTGGTTTTTGATATTTCTGCTGTATCTTAAAATATTCGAACTTACGATACCAAACGTTAAGTTATTGCTTCCATTTATAGCTTCGTTCTATTTACCTCTCGAATTATTTTAAAAAGTGAAAAATGCGCCTTCCTAGTTTTTTCGTAATATTAAGTATCTTGGTCTCGCGTATTTTTTCTTTATATATATAATTCTTATTAGTATTCATACTTAATTTACCGAACTTCGTATTCCACACTTCTTGACCAGAGCTTACAATCTTACGTAACGAGAACAATGTATTGCAATTATCGTTTAGATTGAAAAATCGTGTATGCACCTCTATATTCTAAATCATCACAAATTGTTTAGTCGCTAAGTAGTTTCAACTTCAGCCTCAACTCAGTATAACTCTCTATGAGAACATAAATACGCCAGTAACACTCCTGCGTCCCACTATCTACATCTTATATGTATGCACGAAACTACCTATGGATAAGCTTACACGTGTATGTATCAGACTATATAATATCAAACCGTCGCGAAATGCAGTCCTGCAAGAGAAGTCAGTCGCAAAGTGAATCCCAATGCCGGTTTTCTGAGAATCGTTTTTCCGTCCGTCAGTCGATCCTTCGTCTGCAATCGTCAGTTTGCACCTCGCGTCATCATTCAGTCTCATTCCGTCTGCTAGGTATTTTCTTAATCGACTAGTCACGTGTTTTCACTGTTACCTTTACCGCCTCAATTACTTCATCTTGACGTGCGCGACGCCGCTACACATGGCGACGATTCTGACGAGATTGTTACGTAGTCTCGCACAATCGTTTTTTTGTGCCCATTTTCGTCGCACGCTTGTCGCGGGCCTATTTCTTCGGGCCCGTACTACGTTTACGGGCAAACGAATGCCATTTGTTGTGTGACCAGTCAATTAATTTAAGGACTTCAACGATATGCTTTCGCTCTCTCCGCCCAGGCAAAGAGGTCCACGCTGGGTATTGCCTCAAAGTCTGTGCAGCGTCTCAACTCGTTCCTGAAAAGTTACGGAATAATAAATTGAATGATAAACTTAACAAGTTTCGGATATTGTTGCTAGTTAAAAAAATCTTCAACTTACCCTGCCTGAGGCTTGAGGAACACATTGCGTTGCATATGGGTGATGTCATCACCATTGTCGCAGAATATCCGCGCTAAGGTGACGTTACGCAATTGAGTCAATTGTTCTGCGACAAAAAGATGATAGATTAAACTCAAAAGTTCGTAACAACACGCGCAATTTGGAATACATTAGACAACATGCGCCATGAACGGTACTCAACGTACCAGGTGTGAAGGGATATGGTTGCGTCGCGGAGTCGTAGAAGAACCTATCGGTACGCCGAGATCTGGAGAATTGCTCGTAGATGAGGCAGCGGAAGGTCGGGCCGATCATACCGTCATCCGCTGGTCTCTCCGCCATACCGCCCACAATGAGATCGACATCGTTGGGATGGGAATAGATCGTGCGCAGTTTTCTCGTCATCTATTAACCGAACAATCGCATATTAATAATCACCGTAAGAATGTTCATCGAATGTGAAAGGAGCGATTAGTTTCGAGCTCACCTCCGTAGGAATATAATCCAGGAAATCGTCGAAGGTCTTGGCAGCAGGAAGTCCACAGTACCTACGATAATAATTGTAACCCGGCAGGCCATGATCGCGGCCGCGTTCAATGTCCAAGCTAACGGCATCCAAGCCTAAATCGTTGCTATTGCTGGTGTATAATTTGCTCGTCATCTGTAATGCGAGGATTACATCAACTTAGAAGATTCTGCCTGAGCGTCCAACGAGCGTTTCTATGCCAGGGGGGGGAAAGTGTTTAATGCCATACTTACATCTGGAATGAGACTGATGTCCATTTTCTGGCTGGTTTGGGTAGCAAGACCGCGGAGCAGTCCATCAAACACCTCCTCCGATTCGATTATGCGCGGATTGAAGAAATGCTCCGCTAGCTGTAGGGTCTTGTTCTGCTGGCGAAAATTATCCGGCAAGCTGAAACAATAGGATCGTACATATCTCGCTACATTTGCATTCTGCAAATGTAGGATTTATTTCCGGCGTGTCGTAGTGCCTACCTCAGCTCTCCCTGCATCAGCGAATTCAGGAAACGTAACGCTGCGGTGGCGGCTTCGTTGCTGACCGCCGGCTCGTCATCGGCATTATAGCTACGGCTGTGATTATTCCCTACGGAAATGGCTCGAGTGTATCTTCTACCCAACAAGATGGGTAGCCACTCCCTGTACGTGATATGCTGAATCTCGGCGATCACGAAGCGCCTGGCCTCTTGGTACAAAATCTCGTCCGACCAGTACGAATTCAATCTGGCAAGATTGTCGGCGACGCGATTATGCTCACGGTGCCAAACCGTGTGAATCACAGCCAACTGAGGATGAACGTTCGCGCGATCGTCACCTGGTAGGCGCGTACTTGTCAGAACGTTGTAAAACAAGCTTCGCGTGTGATGGAAATATGTAAATTTTTTTGTTATTGGGTCATTCCATAAGCAACGCGGTTTTAACACAAAGACAAGTAAAACAAAAATTGAGTATTCTTATTTTTATATAAACTATACTTTCCATTCCTATTTACAAATTTTTCCCATTTTAATCTGCAAGTTTTATTTCCCTGGCGATAAAAATCCTTTGGTTTCGAGTTAAAGAATAAGTCTCTTTTAACCGCATTATTTATGGAACGATTCAATATATAGATAGGCCAACGCGTAGAATTAAGATTCTCACCGGAATTGTAGCAATTCTCTCCGCATTGCGACATGAGCTCGGCATCTCCCCTCGGCAAATATGTGTGATTGTTTCGCACGTCGATGCGAAGACGTCCGCCTTCGAAAGTGCGGAGCTCACGAGATTTCTTCAGAGTAGAACCGTAAACCGTGGAACCGTCCAGGAAGTGGCTCACTTGGTTCATCTGCAAATTACACACGCAATTCATGCAATTGCGTCAAAATGTTGAATTGCAGCTAAGCAATCTCGAATTAATTTTCTTATACTTTCTTTAAGCAGAGGCTTTAATCCTAACGATCTTTTACCTGTTCCACCGGTCCGAAAGTGCATTCCGATCTCAAGACGGGTAACGATCGAACGTAATTCATACACCGGACGTAATGCTGGCCGTAAACGGGATCGCGATCTGGTACGCTGATCGGGGAACAATCTGGATGGATGTGACGCGGTGACAGAGTATCTCCATCCGGTTGGCAACAAGAGATTGGTCTTCCGCTTGAGACTGCAATTAGGAAACAATTTCATCAATCACTCAATCAATAAGAATAATTGTCTTTACAATTGACATATTGATGTTGATTACTTGTTGCTTCAATATGAGAAGAAACATTATTTATAACAAAAATATTATTGTAGGAGCTAACGAACCAACACACTGCTGTGCGTGTTAAAAAATTTTTGCCTATCTCTATAAACAAAATCAATACGAACGTTTCGACCTAAAAATCAAGTCATCTTCAGTGTACTGTGAGAATGAAGAAGTTCTCGAAATAGAACAAAACTTTTTTAACGTACATACATTGATGTGTTAGTTCGTTAGCTTTTACAATAATAGTTTTGTTATATTGTCAAATCTTTAATATTTAAATAATTTTCATTATTTATAATATCTTTAGAATCGACATATTGATGTTGTCTGCTTGACGTTTCAATATTCGAAGAAACATTATTTCTTTACAATCGTCATATCTCTACTTGACGTTTCCGCATTAGAACAAATATTATTTATAATTTCTAATCAGAGTTTATAGTTGCGAGATAAGAACAAGATAAGAACAAAAACTTTTTACAAGTCGCGTTGCGCAATGGATTTATCCCGTGCTACGAGAGAGAGAGAAGGCCCGGTCTATAATGAGTTGTTAGTCAGAAGTCGGAGCTATATGTCTTTTTCTTTCTGGGTGAAACAAAAAACCGACATAGAGTTCCGGCTTAACGACTAACAACTCATTGTAGACCGGGCCTTACAGATTTCGCAACGAAGTGTATATTCCAATTTGTTTAATTAGAATTCTCTCAAAGTCAATCAGTGCATCATCATTGAATAATTCAGTGCTATACATACTTGTAACTGTGAATCAGCGAATATTCACTGTTTTCAGTGATAATCCACTGATTGACTTTTAGAGAGAAGGCCACGCAGAATCGCACACTTGTTACATAACAATTGTAAGAAGTCGATCGATTCGCGTCGGTTAAAATTAGTCGCTTGGATTTGCCCAGGTGTAGATGCACTTACCCATCTTGCGAACTGGGGTGTGGGCTATGTCATGAGCGATGAATTGGCTCCATTCCATCACGGCCAGTGTTCTGCTAGCATCTGACTGATCGTTCGCGGTGGACAAGGCGGCGCTTACGAGCCTCGGGCTTGGCAGCGGCTTCTTCGTTTGTCCAACGCGCCTCGGTTCTTGGATGCCTGCTTCCCAAACCAAACATTAGGTCTGTGCCGCGTGAACGGCTCGAGGTCGCAAAATCGGAGTAAATCAGTGCTACTTTTGGCGCGACGCGGTACCTCGCTCTTGCCGATGATGTCCGCAAGAAAATGGGAGATAAATTATAGATTATACGTGGGCAAAATCATAACGGGAAAAGATACGATATAATTGATACGTGATTCCGTGATAATTTCGTAAGTTGACCAGCCGAACGGTCATCGTGATTACTCCGATTTTAGCGAGATTACACGCACAGAAAGGATTTCCGAATCAAATGCTAGTACACTTCGATCTCTGTCATAAAATAGGATCGATATGGTGGCAATCATATTTATTATTGAGAAAGAAATGTTTTGATTTTAATAGAAAATTCTTAAATCTAAGATAAAATGATGGTTAATACGTAAATGCGTTGAGAGGAGATTCTAAACGCAAGAATATACAGGGTATCTGGCGTAAGAGTATCCTTACGAAAAATGGTGGTAGATTGGGTCAGACCCAGTGAGAAATGATTCGTCGATCGACGTCGAAACGACATCGAATCGACATCAACACCGTCGAATTGACGTCGATTCGACATCATTTCGACGTCGATCGACGAATCATTTCTCACTGGGGACTAAGAAGAAAAGTCAAGTACCATTGTTGAAAATTCGCAATATTTATCGAATAATTTATTGAAACGTCTGAGCGAATGAGAGCGTATAGAGAGCGGTAGGCCGGTACATGACTTTTCTTCTTAGTCTGACCCAATCTACTACCATTTTTCGTAGAGGTCCTCTTGTGTCAAACACCCTGTATAATCTCAAACATGTCGTACTTTTATTTCAATATAATAAGTCAATCTTATTTAATTCGGGAGAGAAGAATGGAAATTCACTTTCTCTCTTTCTTTCTCGCAGTGAGAAATGCTTCGTCGATCGATGTCAAATCGACACCGTAAAAATCGACGTCGAATTCGACAGTGTCGACGTCGATTCGATATCATTTCGACGAATCATTTCTCACTGAGTTGTTAATTTTAATCTTGATACCGTTGCCTTTTTCTACCGTTTGAGGTTGCGATAAATTGAAATATGCCAAGAATATGATTCGCCTTCAGATTTGTCGTCGGAAATCCTTTCCGGGAGGGTAGACGCGCGCGCGCGCTCAAAATGATAACGCTTGGCAGTGCAGCACGAGAGGAGACCATAATGATATATAACTATAGCCGCATATATCATCTGTTCTAACTATAAATAGACTGTGCTAATCTCGAGATCCTCACTGCGTCTACAAACTGCCTTGTCCGCGCGATGAATTCAGGGAACGATCAGAGGAGTAATTTCGTCCACGTCGCGGGCGCATTCGGAACGAATCGTAAACAGGAATTATCATCGCTAACGGGGCGGGGGGGGAGGGTTCATATCCTGCCTGTCACCGGAGGACTCTCGACTCTCGGATTCGCTGATCGGTCCCTGAAGTGAGCCCTAAATCTCGTGCTGCAATGCGAGGCCGGTTAGCGGGTTACCGTCTCCGACTACATCAACTCCGAACGTTCTGATGCGTTATCGAGCGACGAGCCGTCCCGTTGCGTCGTCGTTAGAGAATGGCAGAATGGCAGAGACGCGATTGTGCGCGACTGTAATCGCGAGATAACGACTCGCGGATGTATGATCGACGCCCAGGCATCGAAGTTACGGCCGCTCGAATCGAAAACGCTCGCAGAAACGTTTCCGCGGACTTACATCTATAGACGATCGACGAAGGCGCTTGAACGAGCGAACCCAGCTGGGAGAGGTGGTTCCTCAATAATAAATTGCGCTGTCTAAGAGCTCTTTAAGAACAATCTCGATGATTGATCGACTGATTTGTTGAGACGAGGAGTCGACGTGGAGAGAAAAGAGGGTTCCATCGAATCCAATTGAAGCTAGGGATGCATCTACTTTTGAAAGTGCGCGTTCGTGAAATCTTGATTGCGATAATTAGAGAACTAGCCATTGAATGCGCTCCCAAGCCAAGTCTCCTCGTTCCGATACCTTCGCGCGCGAGCTGCGTATTGCCGCGAATTGAAACAGAAAAAACAAGTCGAACTAGCGTTACATAATAAATATGATACATTATTAGGTATAACCGAATTAGTTTACATACACATTCTACTGCTGGATACAATCTCCCGACCGGGGCACCCTATTGTAGACAGTATTATTCACTGCTACACTCAGGCATTTTATGCTCTATGTGCCTTATCGCACAACAACTGTAATGCAAATCACAGAATATAATTTGTTAAGCCAATCGACGAACGTTTATCCATTAGCGCCCAGGGATCAAGTGTGTACGTGTACACGTTTTTGTGTGTATGCACATATACAGTGCATTCACGTGGACGTATGTGTGGCAGATACGCGCGCACGCACGCACGCACCGCACGCATACATACAGAACACAAATGTACATATGTATGAATGTGTATTACGTAGGTGTTGTGATAAGTGGGATAGATGGATTAGTAGGTCGAGGTTACTGGTTGATGAGACTGGACATCCAAGACCACCGAGACGCTGTTCCGCTCGAATTGTACAATCGGGACATGGAGCAGCGACTTCCGAATTGTCGAACCTTAAGCCCGTATCAGACTACGGATTGAAATTTGATCAATCACAGTAAAGTTTGCTAATCTCAGATTTAGTAGCTTTTACTCTAATTGGTCAAATTTCAATCTAATCTCAATCTCAATCCGTAGTCTGATACGGGCTTGAGACGACATCGGGTTTGGAAAAAAGCCTGCTGTGAAGGCCGAATCAAACTAAAGCCCGTATCAGATTACGGAATGAGATTGAGATTAGATTGAAATTTGACCAATCACAGTAAAGTTTACCGATCTCAAGTTTAGTGACTTTTACTCTAATTGGTCAAATTTCAATCTAATCTCAATCTCAATGCGTAGTCTGATACGGACTTAACAATTGTCGACTCGGATTGGATTGGAATTGGCGATTGATGATTGTCCTCTAACCAATGAGAATCGATCAAATCGCTGATCGTTTTGCTCTCATTGGCTCATTGGCAAGAAGACAATCGCCGATCGCCAATCCCAATCCAATCCGTGTCGACAATTGCTAGTCTGATTCGGTCTTGATGCAAGTCGCGCGAATGTTATTTTTGTCATAAGATATACATACATTTTCCACGAGCCTCTTTACGTCAAATCAGCGTCGTGAGTTCCGCGTACGTAGATCGAACTTTCCGATGTCGTTGCGCTGTTTATACATTGAAGATTATCGCGCAATATTGTAATAAAAAATATCGAAATTATCTTCGATGTTTGCTTTTTCTACGAGCACGATGACTGAAACACTATTTACGTAACCATATTTCTATCACAAGTACGCGTAATGATCGTAAAATGTCGAATTCTCTCGTCTGATGTACCTGATACATTTGATAAAGTTCAGGCTTTGTCTGACCTCATACTCTCGTTTCTGATATTTTCACGAGTGTGAATTCGACATGTTGTGTTTTAATACTGCGTTATAAAACAGAAAAGAGATACAAAGAAGTAACGACGACGATACCTGACTAGTAATAAGCAGTATTTAACTCTAGAATACAAATTGATCGCGGTTGATTACACGCGGTTGATTCATTGCGATTCTCACACACCTCCAGCTAGTTTTTCATATGTATAACTACTCACTTTCAAGTCGACGGATATCGATATGTATTTCTCGAGTTAAAATGTGTTAATGAAGCGCTCATCCGTGAATTCTAAGTGTCCTAAGACGTGTCTGGAATGAATTCGCTACATCTCGAGAGGCGGTGTAAGAACTAGCAGAAGCTAGTGTGACACATCAACACGAAAGACATTGACGTAACGCGAGAAATGCAGTGTGTTGTTTAGCGAGGCTTTTCGTCACATGTAACGAGAAGCTCGAGAATTTTGCGAGTCTGCAGAAAGGGGATACAACAATACTGGAGTCCTAATCTGACCCGAGTGGATATCAAGGTTGAAAACAAACCATACAACTCTCTCTATCAGCGGAATCGTGATATGACACATGTATTATCATTCGACTGCGACTGTCCGGGCCGATAACGGCCGTCGTTGTCACCGCATATTGTTACGTCCTGTCTCTTTGGCGAGCGAAAAGTCTGTGCGTGACTAAACGGCCCGAAACTTTATCGCCGTGTGTCGCTTACGGGTTACCACGATGACTCATTCCCAAGCAGAACAACAAGTAACGATAAGGTCAAGGTGACATCAAAATGGCATCGTAATATCAGAAGTTATATTTTGGTCATGACAGAACATTGATCAACTTATGATTTTGTAATTTAGAGGTAGTGTCCCTCTCGGAGGGAAGTGGCGAGAGTATTCTGCTACATATGGTACATGTACCCTTTTAGTCCTCCAGGTTGGAGGTTTCCTTCGGTAAGGTTAGCAGCTTACCGAAGTTGAGGTAAAACCAAATACTCACGTACCAGAACGGACTAGATAAGCAGGCTCTAAGCCTAATACACGAGAAAGAAGAAGAAGAAGAAGAAGAAATAGTGTTTGACATGGTTTGCGATAATTTGAACTCAGATTGTCCAATATTCATAATTTAATAGGACTTACAATTAAATAACGGTAATATAATGAATAATAACAGATAAAAACTATTCTTTTAACAACTCTTACACTAATACTGTTATGCTTAGAATATAATTTGTATGATAAAGTGCAGTATTCAGTATGTTGTAAGATTTGTATTATTAAGCCTTTATTTTACATGTTGTGAATGGAAAATCAGGATATCAATGCTTCAAAAATGAAATATGTTTACAAATTCGTAAAATAGGGAAATTTTAATCATTTCGCGTGCACGAGCAATTTGCGTTCTCTCGGCGAAAGCCGTCGAAAAGTCAGATTGTGTTTCACTCAAAGTATTGAATGATATCAGATATTGAGATATCTTTTTAGAAATGATTACTTTTTTATGTCATCTTGATTTTATGTCTTCTCGATACACACGTGATATCTGGTAAATATGCAATTGCAAATAATAACGTGCAATTGATACCGATTACCGCCGCGATAAATATTATCAGTCCACGTAATTAAGATAAATCATATCCTCCATAATGGTCGCAATCTTACGATCAAGCGCGATTTTCTACATTGCACATTACTGTATGCAGTTTCTCCTGCCGCTCTTCATTAGAAAAACTCACATACGACCGCGATTTACTTTACCTAAGAAGAAGAATCTCGCGTTTTGCTCGAAACTAATCCTGTCACGGGGGGGAGGGGGATAATCTCCCCGGAAATATATAGGACAGACGTTGGAGGGGAAATCGAGGGAGAAGAAGGAAAGCGCCAAACGTTCAGAGGCTGTAAATAATTATACGATTATTATCCACACAAATTGATCGGTAAAGATCTCACGAGAAGAAGACGCGCGTTTTCTCGACAAGTCGCTTTACCACGCAATTTCTTCCCGTGCAAAGTTCTCGGGACAGAGAGAGATAGAGAGAGAAAAAGAGAGAGGGGGGGGAGAGAGAGAGAGAGAGAGAGAGAGAGAGAGAGAGAGAGAGAGAGAGAGAGAGAGAGAGAGAGAGAGAGAGAGTCAGAAGCGACAATTATGTGATAAAAATTCTTACGTGTTACTGTCAAATAAAAAGATATTTGGATAAAAACAAATTTTAGACAGTTTTAGGCCCCTTATGAAATACATAAAAAATTATCTTTTTTCTTTGATAAGTAGCCTATTGTTTATTGACTGTCAAGGAAAAAATATAATTTTTGGCGTATTTTACAAGTGTACTAAAACTACAATGTTTTCATCCAAGTATCTTTTTATTTGACAGTAACACAAATATTTTCATCATATATGAAATCTCGCTTCTGACGTCACAGTTCAACGTCGCAGGAGGGGGAAGTATTAAAAAACATTTAGAAATCCATTGGATGTCGAGTGGTTATTGTTGGGATCGATTTTATTGTATATAATTACGTCTTTAGGATGTCCTTAGATTTTGGGGATAAGAG